ACATTGTACCCATCTAAAGCACCCTGTAACATAAATACAGACATTGTACCCATCTAAAGCACTCTGTAACAACAATACAGACATTGTATCCATCTAAAGCACTCTGTAACAACAATACAGACATTGTACCCATCTAAAGCACTCTGTAACATAAATACAGACATTGTATCCATCTAAAGCACTCTGTAACATAAATACAGACATTGTATCCATCTAAAGCACTCTGTAACAAACAATACAGACATTGTACCCATCTAAAGCACTCTGTAACATAAATACAGACATTGTACCCATCTAAAGCACTCTGTAACAGAAATACTGACATTGTACCCATCTAAAGCACTCTGTAACAGAAATACAGACATTGTATCCATCTAAAGCACTCTGTAACAAACAATACAGACATTGTACCCATCTAAGGCACTCTGTAAAATATTATGAATATAAACTAAATAATGGTTATACAATGAAGCGCATTGAAGTGGTAAAAATTTCCATTTGGACGAAACGTTCTGAGTCATGTTTTGAATGTCAATTACAACATAATGACACGCCCATATTTTTAGAAACGAGAATGAAATATTCGTCGTATATGTTTTAGGACACCCCAATCTTCGCGACAAGCAATACGAGTTACACTGAAATGGAGCTTTAAAAAAATAAGAAGAGAGAGTTAGAGACTCCCCGCTTCTGTAAAACACAAATTGCAACAAATATGTACATATTTTTGAACTCATCATGTCTATTGAAGTTACCACAACACATGGTTCGGTCGAACATGTGTTTACTCGGTATTTATTTAGACCGTCAATTTCATTGGCTATTATATTTGTAGAAAACCTGTTCTACAGGTATTCGAATAAACAAATTGACCGTTTTATCCATTTCTAAAGAAATGGGCGTGTCATAAACGTTCTAAAGATACCTCAAAACGTTCCATTCGAACGGAAAATTTTACCACTTCAATGCGCTTCATTGTATATGCTACACAAATTTTCTGATATTTACAATGTTTGTTTGTTTCTTCTTTTTGTTTTTGTGATATAAAAGTTTTAAAATAACTTTGTGAAAATTTAGAGCCTTTCCTCTCCCTACAAAGGTGAATTTAGTGCCTTTCCTCTCCCTACAAAAGTGAACTTGTTTCAATTTTTTCTTCCTCAATAAGAGATACAATTTCTCCCAAATATATATATATTTTAACACAGGGCTCCAGTTCTTTTAAAATAAATCTTGTTTAATTTGTCTCAATTTTGTGGTAGTTGTGTTTTCAGATATAAATAATGATGAAAGGCAGTCAAGGCACTTAATCACTTATATGTTTTAATTTCCAGGCCCTCTTATCTAGATCTCATTCCTACAATGTTCAGGGTCCTGGGAAAAAACAGTGTTAACTGCACCTGGCAGACGTTCATTAATTACAGGGGTACTGCTTAATGCAGTTACATGTATTAACCGTACCTGTACAGTGTGACGGACTTCCTCAAACACCTGAGCTTGAGTGCTGTCAGGGTTAAATACTCTGTCAAAGGTAAACTCATACTTCTTGTTTCCTTTACTGTCTGTCAATGAATCCTATACAGTAAATAAGAGAGGGGATAAAGAATATTCTGATTATACTGATAGCAGTGAGTCACAGACTGGTAAAAACTACACTGCTATTTGTTTTATATTTTTAAAAAACTTTTTAGCTAATACGATTAAATGAACAATTTTTTAATGATCAAACTGTCATAATTATCAATTAATGAGGCAGTTAACAATCTTTTACAATTGTATTTTACAGTTTAGTTATACCCACACTGTGTGGTGAGAGGTTTTCCAGCACCAGTATCTTGCCGTCGTTCTCTGGGTAACTCAAGTGACGTATCCTACCATCACTTCCCTGTATAATCTCATCTCCAAGCAGTGGACGAACTCGACAAAACACTCGGACATTTCCCTAAGAAATTCAAAATAATAGTGATAAATAATTCTTTATGATAAATACAGCCTTCTTATTTTTAAGATACATGTACAAGTTTTAAAGTTAATAGAGAGGTTTAGTTATGTTTTGCTACGAAAATGTACGGGTGACATCATGTTGTGTTCTTCGACATCATGACGTCAAATTCGACGTGTAGCTACAAGTTTAGAATGTGTATTATGCTGCCTACACGTACGACATAAATGAGTAAAGTTATTGATTAAATTCTTTCCTTTATTCAGTTGATTGATTTTAAGCAATAAAAGAACACTATCTCAAATTTTTAATGAATAATGATTCAATGATTCCACCAAAGTCTTAGTATTTTTATCATGTCATTGAATGAAATTAAATTTAAACTGATACCTAGCAGCATGTTTACTTTGTACGCAGGATTCATTTAAAGAAGGCCCCGCCAACTTGTAATCTTCGTTCTACTACTATTTCCTACAGAAATGAACCATAGTATGAAGTATTTGAAGCAGACTACTGCTGTAACTCTTCATCATTGCAGGTATAAACGAATGGGTTATTTCTATGCAATATCAACAACTTTACATCATATGCCTCTGAATTTCTATCAATAAGCCGTTATATGATTGATCAAAGCGATAGCGTTCAATATCGCATCATTCCGATGACCCTACCTAGCGATATGATTTGCTTATTTAGGTTATAATGGGTCTAAAATGTACTATATTTTAATAAATAATTTCATTTTTGTGTGAAAAATAAACACATCTTACCTAGATGCCACTTTCTTCCTCTAATTTAGCTCTGAGAATTTGACCAGATGACTTTTTTTGTTTACAACGGGGTGTTCAATATTGAACGCTCGTATTCGGAATGCTTCGGGCATACTCATATACGTAATACAAAGTTAGTGTTCAATAAAACGTCAAGATATTGCATGAACGCAAAAATTCTCTAGATCTTCATTAGAGTAGTAGTATTTCATTAGAGACTTTTTATTAGCTATATAATAAATATACATATAGAGGGGGTATATATATCACTTTGATCAATCATATATAACGGCTTATTGATAGAAATTCATCAGAGACCTCTGTTTATATATTTTAATTGTTGGGTTTAAAACTTTTAAATGTAAAAACCAAAAGTTTTATAGTGATATAAGAGACTTAAAAGGATGTCCAAAGGAAAAATAAGAAGTAGGCAGCTAATTGATTTCAGCCCATAATGATTGAAACAAGTCGTCAAAGTCGGGACAAGAAAACCCCAATCACTTTGTGTGAACTGGGCTGAAATATTTTAGGGACATCAGAACAAAGTTATTTGTCCCTACAACATCTCGCTAAAATCGAAAATGAACCTTGCTGAGATAACTCTGGTTTGAGATGTATAATTGAGGGATTTAGTTCCTGAATTTGCTATAAAAATTGTTTAGACTTATGTCCAAACACATACACTTGAATTTTTTTCAATCAGACAATAAGCCAAATATCGAAAAATTCTACCCCCTCTATATATAAATACGCAAGATAGAGTAGGCATAGAGTTTTTTGATATATGGCTTGATTGATTAAAAATTCAGGTACAAATGTCTGAAGTCAATGTCATTTTTTTTTTACTGTTAACGATCTCACGAGGTTAGGCCCACAGGCGCTTGACGTTTTTAATCTTTCTTTTTATAAATAAAAATACCCCCTATACTTAATACTTATATAATTAAAACCGTAAAAAACGGAATAATAGTTTACTCACAGTTAAAAAAAAATTCATTTTATCAGCAAAAGAATATAACTCAGCAGCACCGTAACTTTGCAGTTTTCTGTTGTTGGAACCTGACTACCGAGTCATTGTACTATGATCTTGTGACTTCACTAGATGCACAGACTACCCGATCTCTGAGGCACTCTCTCTGTTGATTACCTGTGTATTGTGTGCGTTCAAGCGGAAAGTGATTTCCTGTTACGTAGTTGATGTATATTTCACGATTGTACAGAACAAAGGGTTCATGTTAGAGTCTTATCAATGCAACAGAATGATAAAATGACACTTGTAAAAAAAAGTTACATTAATGTTTTAACCTCTGATTCTGCCATGCTTTGTAGGGAAACCTCATCCACAGTCCAATAAACTTGTGTGAAAATCTCCAACTTGATGTCCAGCACATAGAAACATGATAAATATTGAAAAGAAAACTTGTAAACAATGTTTTTGTTGTGATCGGAAATAAAAGGTTGGACGGAACTACCAAAACCAGATGCGTTTAACGTATTTTATTCCGATTTCCGAGATTTTATAAAATATTTTTTATATTGGTGTTGAAAGACCAACGTTACGAAACCCTGAAATAGATTTTTGAGAATTTCCCACTTTTTTGTTAAAAGCTTGTCTAAGTGTTATTTTATAGTTTTTTTTTCCTTTCTCTTTCACCCCCCCCATTTGTCAGAGATATTTTCCTTGCTATACATGTAGTTGCTCAATATTATTTTTCCAGGCTGCCCATGTTCTCTAAACCAATACTACGTCTACATATGCCTTTACACAGATTCATCTCCAAGTTTCAGAAAAGGGGGGTATGGTGGTGGTGATTCCCTCCTTAGAGGCAGATATAAAAAAAAAAGAAAACAAAAAGAGAACTATTTGGGTGGATTCTTGTAGTCATGCCCTTGTTAGCTTCCCTATTAGACTCAATTCAATGTTTTGAAAGGTGTTTTTGAGCGAGACATCTTTTGGAAGAAATCCTGCAAAATTGGAAGTTGCTCTACAATTTGAGGGTATATTCAGGTCCCCTTTTACTGGTAGCATTCTAGTTTTCCGCCGATCAATCAACAAAAGGATGATATCAACTGATTCATGAAACTCTTTTGTTCTCTCCAATTATGTGATCAATTTTAAATGTTATTCAAAATTTATAAATAAAAGTAAATTTAAATACATACTCAGATAAATTGTATAAATACCGGTATCAATTCTCTTTTGACATAAAAATTAAACAAAAAAGGCCTTAAATTGATCAGCAAGTAAATATTTCATTTTTATGATTTTATGCTAAAAAATAAACAAATCATAATTCTTACATAATATTTTATTTTCTAATCGTGTATGGTGACATTGAAATAGGACAATTCCCAGTTAAGCTTGGACTTTTCAGTAAGACATGGCATTCTCGACGTTACATAATTAGCTTCAGAAATTTACACAGCTTTTCCTTCACTGTTGAAATATACATAGGATAGAAATTTGGCCGAATGTCAAATAGTGTAGCAAATAGCCAATTAAAAGTTCTTACACAGCACAGAGGCGGGGCATAAGTCGTCTCATGGTTGTCAACAACAATTTAAAGTTCCTAATGTTAATAATTTCTTAACCAATGAAAATCTATTCGCCATTTGACAGACACTAATTACGTTGCTCCGAGAATACCAAGCCTTACTAAATGTCCAAGCTAAACTGAGAACTGTAATACAGTATTTGAGGGATAGAGAGGAAGAAAGAGGATACAGTAGAAAGACGTTTAGAATTACATATTACATGGACATGTAGCTATTGATCTGAAATTCCTATATACAAAGCTGGCCAAATACACAAATCACCATAACACACACATATACACATAAACTGTGATGCAGCTTATTTTTGTGGTTTTAAAACATCTGGGTCAAAAATTAAGTTTATACAATAGATGATTCTGAGTATCAGCACATGATAATTAGACTGTATAGAGGCAAGCCAATCCGTATTCAAAATTATCTGCTATGTATCAGGAATATAAAAACTTAAGGATCAAATTTAGATAATATTAAAAACCAACACCTTTATAGGCAAAATGGATTAAAAATAATTCCTTCTGACATTTTAAAAACTCTGCTTAAAACAATCTTATCAAAGCTCAAAAGTAGGGATAATTCATGAACAGAACATACAAAGTGTGTTTGCATCAACATAAGGACCAGTAGTGGAAATACTCCTGACAATACTAGACATCTACTACTTGAAATGTTTTTTTTTACAGTGTGAAAAAATATTTCTTCATTCTAATAAAAATACTTCCTACAAAGCAATGATTATTTTGATTTCTTTTGGGCTGTACCAATACTACACTGGTTAACCTGAAAGAAAATTAAATACATGTTAATATAAATATGTACATTCTGATCCTGAAATCAACTGAATTTACAGGTACATAAATAATAAATAATAATAAACCACATGAGAATATATGCACAAGTACATGTACATTTTGAAAATATTGTTTTTACAATGGTATTTTTACAGGAGAGAGAGAAAGATGGGGAGGGGGTCCGAGAATAGAAATATACATGTATATTAGGGCTGTCATGGTTCCATAATCTTTTGGGTCAGGTTGGTTCTAAAAATTTTAGGTTCAATTTCGGGTATTTCAATCGGGTATACAATTGAATAAAAACTACTTTAATTTGTGCTGTTTTGCACATTATATTCAACATTTCAAAAAAATTTTTTTTAATTAATCTAACAAACAGCAACATAATGACTAGTTTAAAATAGTTTCCGGACAAGAAAAATAATTGAACTAAATGATATAATATTTCCACACTAAAAAATCTTCCGTTTTTGACCATTTTTATGATAAAACCTAGTCTATTATACAAATCGGAACTGAACTGAATTCCAGGAAAACAGAACCAAACCCAACCCGAATTAATTGTTCTACAGTTCTCGGTCATTTTGGATACCCACGACAGCCCTAATGTTTGTCCATAAGATATGAATGCCCTGTCCAGAGTTCATTAGTCATTTATTCATAACATGGTATTCAAAACATTTGTACACCAAAGCAAAGATAAACTGTTATTAACCAAAGAAAGAATCCTTAGATTTACAGCAGTAGACACTGACCTTTGTGGCAAACCTGAGGGAGTTGAGGGTTTCCTGGAAACACTCCTCTTTGGGGGACACGTTGACGAACATGAGAGTCTTACTGTTCCCTCCCAGGGAGTTCTGGAGGAGGTAGGTCAGCTTAGACTCCCTGTACGGGATGTAGCCGTCCTGTAACAGATGAGACTCAGTTATTATAACTAGTGATCAGAAAAAAATTAATTAAAGGACAAAAAAAGTTACCGATTCTGATGATTAATTATTTATGTCATAATTGATCATCTGATTCACTCATCTTGTAGAATGCAATCTGGAATAAAGACTTTTTTCCCTACTTTACATATGCCAGAAGGAGAAAATGGCATCTAACACAAAGTAAATGTGATGAATAATGAAAAGATCCATATACTGACAAACAGAAAGAGCCTGAGCAGGAAGACAACTGCTCCAGAAACTTAAACCTGCTCAAAAACATTTGTACCTACTACCTTGGCACCATTTTCTATGATTTACTCTGACAGTGTGTGTACCTTATTAGCGATGGCCATGATGACTTTACTGAGTGTACTCAGACTTTTGTTAATGGCCTGAGTCTCTTTAAGTCGGGCTCCCTCTGATCCCGATTCCTTCAGCCTTTCACTGCCAGCAAGATCCACCAAGTTCAAGGTTCCTGGTAAAAGTAAAAGAATACTTTATTTAATGATCCAATGCTAGAACTACCTTTCTAACCCCTGGTTGTTGATAAAATGCTTATTTAAATGAAGTAACAGGAAGAAAAATTACTGACAGAGATAATGCAGTTAGTGTTTGTTAAAGTCTAGACTTACCAATACAAGCCTCCTGCGTGTTTTTGTTGACCCCTGAGATTCGGAGTCGGAACACGCTATGACTACGAGACGATCGCTCGTTACACTTGGTCTCGGCTACTGCCCGGTTGTGGGAGGCTTTCCTCAATAATTCATGAACCTACAAATCAGGTTTACAACAATTTACATGTATATATATGTTTAACATGGTCTCATAAATGTGTTTGGTATCCAATACCTGGCTACAATAAATCTGAATCAAAGCATGGAACATGGATTAATATTAAACATACACTTTGTAGAATTACAGTACAGGCAACGCGGATCCCGTATTTCCTGTGCCCCGTCGCGGTATAATCACAATGCGGTATTTGACCAGGTGAGACAGGTAAACCGCGTTCCCTCCGTGGGAAATTCATCACCTACCTGTCCCCGCCGCGGTTAAATCATTGATCAATTACTGACAATTAGTATTGTAAACAAACGGGAGTTATCTCCCCGAATTGTAATTTGCGAATTTTCCCTGTAACAAAAAAAGAATGACACTGTGTGTTTATTATTAAAAGTATTTTCATTTATTTTGCTATGAATAGAATTTAAACTAAGAAAGAATAAGTTTATTTTTGTTTCTAAAATTACCTATCAATCTTAGAAATTGAATAGAAAATTTTATTAAATGGTTACGTCATTGCAGTTGGTGTTATTAAGAGTCTATCAAGAAACAAAATTAAATACTAGAAATTTTCATAATTTTTTTTTTGTTTTTTTGTTGTTGTTGTTTAAATCTTCATATTATATGCGAACTGTAATAAATATTGAACTCAGGCTGTTTGTGTTTCGATGAACGATTTTCAGCATTCATTTGAAAAAATTTTTTACATCTTTGAAAAAATGTACATCTTCATATTGTTTCTTTTGCTATGAATAGAATTTAAACTAAGAAAGAATAAGTTTATTTTTGTTTCTAAAATTACATATCAATCTTTGAAATTGAATAGAAAATTTTATTAAATGGTTACGTCATTGCAGTTGGTGTTATTAAGAGTCTATCAAGAAACAAAATTAAATACTAAAAATTTTAATTAGTTTTTTTTTTGTTTTTTTTTGTTTTTGTTTAAATCTTCATATTATATGCGAACTGTAATAAATATTGAACTCAGGCTGTTTGTGTTTCGATGAACGATTTTCAGCATTCATTTGAAATTTTTTTTTACATCTTTGAAAAAATGTACATCTTCATATTGTTTATATTCTTTTCCCAAATTTAGAACCCTTAATTTAATTAATTTCGCTTTTATTGTATTTTAAATGTGCAGGCATTTTTCTTATAGTGTCAAATTACCGGAAAACATTCGATGTCGAGAGTTTGCAGTTACATGTAGTGGGCACGTGAAGTTAAATTTTCTTTATCCAAGATATCAAGACTTAGAAAAAAAAATCTTTTCTTCTTTATTTCTCATCATTTATATACCTTCTGTTCCCAAATTTAGAAAACTTTTCTTTAATTTATTTCCCTTTTTTATATAAATGTGCAGGCATTTTTCTCAAAGTGTCAAATAACCGGAAAGCATTCGATGGCGAGAGATAACTTTGGGCACGTGAATTTATACAAGATATCAAGAAAAAATATCGCTTCTTCACCTTCATATTAACATGAATTACTTTTGTAAACAATGTCTTTCTTTTTAATTTTCATATTTCTCGATTTTCATGTTCAATAGATAAGATAGGATGTAAGCAGGTATGATGATAAACTTCACAGAAGAAATTAAATTAAAGGGGGGTATTACACTTAAATTTTTGATAAATATTCAATGCAAACTAGAAATATGTCCATAGGACATGAATGCCCCGCCGAGGATATATTAGTAAAGCAACATGAAAATTCGTATGTGTATAAAATTTGATCAGTTTGGTTCAGGAAGGGGTTATAGTTACTTGGGAATGAAAATGTAGGTCAGATCCAGCATCCGAAGCAAGTCTGGTAGTGTCCATCCCTAGATGCATCATCCATGCAAGTTTGGTTCAGGCAGGGCTTATAGTTACTTGGGAATGAAAATATAGGTCAGATTCAGCATCCGAAGCAAGTCTGGTAGTGTCCATCCCTAGATGCATCATCCATGCAAGTTTGGTTCAGGTAGGGCTTCTAGTTACTTGGGAATGAAAATGTAGGTCAGATTCAGCATCCGAAGCAAGTCTGGTAGTGTCCATCTCTATATGCATCATCCATGCAAGTTTGGTTTGGGTAGGTCTTATAGTTCCTTGGAAATGGACCTGCTCCAAAAACTTTAACCTGGTCACTTATCTGGAAAATGTAGGTCAGATCCAGCATCCGAAGCAAGTCTGGTAGTGTTCATCCCTAGATGCATCATCCGTGCAAGTTTGTATCAACATGCATTGTGAAGTTTGATTACTCCATCTTGAATGGTATGTTCAAATCTGAGCTAAACACTAATTTAAGAAAAGTGAGGTCAAGGTCAAAGGAAAGGTCAGGGTCAAAAAATGTTGATGCAGTTGCATAGCTCTCATCAATATCTATCAGCATATGAAGTTTGATGAAAATATCTTGGATAGTTTCTTTGAAACTTAGCTTTGAACAGAGCTAAACGCAAAGTGTGACGGAAGACGGAAGGACGGAAAGACGGAAGGACGGAAGACAGACATGACAAACACTATATGCCCAGGCCATATTCATGGCGGGGCATAAAAATCAAATACTTTCGTTTTCTTCGACAAATTTTGTTTCTTTGTGTATTAAGTATTAGTCGCGATCATTTCCTGTGTATAGGGATTAGCAGTACCAGAGCAGGAAACTGCATGCCCTGGGGGTTTCACACCTGTCCTAGTCAAGAGTACCTTGGGTAACACTCGCTGAATGTGCACATCGCTGTCTAGCCATTCAACACAACTTTTGATTCAATGTTTCATTATTATTTCATCGATATCATTTTCAAATGCGATAATAGCCTTGAAATTTGTGTCAATATATTGTTGCTTTTTTAAAACGGAGTGTATAAAGAGAATAAAAGTTAAAAAAAAACCCAAACTTTTAAAACAAATTAATAAAGTATTTGATATTAATTAAATAAAATAATGATCTATTACTATGTTATTTACGTGTCACTGTTTATACCTGTACCAGTTCGTTGATTGAGAGAGAGAGAGAGAGAGAGAGAGAGAGAAGAAAAATATCACAATATCAGGCACGTGCATGATCGTTTTTCCTCGTTTTGATCAGTATTTGGATTTCTAAAGTCTATCGAATAAAACTAAATTAAACATAATATAATAATAATGAATTTGCTTGCGGATAAGATTTTGTTAAATTCCATACAGATACATGTAGATCTTGCGGCCGCTGATTTATCAGTTTATTGACCATTTGTGGATCTTGTCTAAGTTTAAGTGTTATTTACCGAGAGACTTATTTATGATCCACTTTCTTCTTTCGTTTAGCACACATGACGTGTAATATGAATTACTTCCGCTTTTGTCGCCAGATTACAACGACAGATTTTGGTGGTAAAATAAAATGTATTTTTGTTATAACATTTGATTAAGAAAAAGACAGTATATTAAAATTGTCGAATTATTGAAAATATGTATTCAAGAGAAAGAATTTAAAAAGGATTCTGTCTGCAACAAAAACATGCTTTATTTCATGCATTTCAATTCATGAGCTACACATGAAAAAAACGGCTTCGTTTTACAATGTCGTAGGAAAACGCATACAGGTAATACACTCATTAATTTCTGTGTATATATAGGTATCTATGCTATACACAAGCCAGCGTCGTTCTCTTGGGCTTCTAATTATGCTGCTTGAAAGCTCCTCTCCACACCAAACTTATTACTGAGGAAAACCGTAACGATTACAAAAAAAAACTTGAAGCATGGCAACTTGCTGATTAAAAATAAGTTAATTTCTGTGTTGTGTGTTCAAATTATTTAAGGGCCCATATTTGTGTTTGTGTTTTATTTGAACCGGAGACATTGCATTTCATACCCGAAATTTGTTCACAAGTTCATAGGCATGATTTTAGTAATTTTCCAAGAGAGAAAATAGAACTACAGTCAAATACTAGCTATAAAATTATTGGTATTCTGAATAGAATGACTTGAGGTTATTTTATTAACAAACTAATTCCCCCCCAAATTCGACATTTAGTTCATATTGTCTTACAGTGTAGTGCATTTTTAATTGATTTAACATTTTTAAACACTTATTTTTACATTTTTTGTTTAAATTTAAAATTTTAATTATTTTTTATTCACTACCTATCATCGTTTTTCATGCTATTATTTATAACAGACATGTACACAGTAGTAAATGTATTTTTTTAAAAATGAAACCAAATGACTGTGATAGAATCTCGCTGATAAATAAAAACATAGCTACATGTAACTGCAACTGCACGGGCTAATTGTGAACACCGGATTATAGTGCTTATATAAAGTGCCCCGCCACAGCATGATACGCCCGTCAAATATATTGTTCAATAATCATCAATTGGTATTTACGGTGTCAAAAATACCAGATACCTTGATTAACAGAGAGAGAGAGAGAGAGAGAGAGAGAGAATTTCAATTTCTTATCATGTTTAAAATATTGTACATATATACATCTTGGACTTAAAGTGTAGGGATTAATTATAACAAATAATACATGATATAATTTTAAAAATGGCTGTGTTAGAACTTAACAAATATCCATCTGCAGCATTAAATTGTTAATTGCATATTTTATGGAATTTGTGGATCTTGTCTAAGTTTAAGTGTTATTTACAAAAAAATCAAAAATATATTATTCTTTCGTTATAACACATTCTAAATTTGAATTACTGCAATTTGTTGCCAATATATAAAAATTGAAATGTAATTTTTTTGGTAAAATAACACATGTATAATTTGTTTTAACATATTATACAAACACTATATATTAGTTTTAATCATACACTAAAACATCAATTTGTTTTAATTACATTACACTAATTGATGGCATCTTTATCTGGGCTATAGCCGATCAAGAACTCTTTTCCTAACACGCGCGACTATGAGTGCCATTTCTTTTTGCCAAAGTCCGAAGGTGCGGAGATAAATTTATGACAACCAGTTAGCTCCTGACAATACTCATCATTAATTTCTCTCTAATTTGACATGCAATTTCTGCTATCAAAATTTTTCCTTGTAGACCAGTGCTTGATAATTATTTTTGCACCATGTGTTTCAGAGATTGAATTCCTCGCAAAACATTAACATTTGCTACAGTTTGCTGTAAAAGTATATTATAATGATGAAAAAAAAAGTTTTTACTTAATTTAACATTTTTTAATAAGGCTTAGTTTTAATTATGTTATGCAATATTAATTTAGTTTTTATTACACACTGTATTTTAAAGCAGCAATTTGTTTCAATTACATTACACCAATTGAAAGATCTTTTTCTGAACTAGCCATCAAAAACTCTTAATTAACACAAGCAACTGTGAGGCCATTTCTTTTTGCCCAACTCCCAAGAGATTAAAGATAAAGATAACAGCTGCATTAAAAGACATGATTTCTGCATTTCCATTTATGACTCACTGACAATAAACTCATTAATTTCTCTCTAATACACTTGACATGCTGTGTATATATTCTGCTATCAAAATTCTTCTTTGACCAGTGCTTGATAATTATGCCCATGGGACACCAAACTTACCTCTCAAAACATTAACATTTGTTACAGATTGCTGTAAAGTATATAATGAAAAAATAAGTTTTTACTGTGATTGTGTTTTTAAATAAAGATACAACTATATTTTTACATTTTTTAGGATTATGAAATTTAAAATTTTAAAGACTTAGTTTTTTAAAAAAATTCACTTAAATTTAAGGTCACAGTGACCTTGAAATAGGCCGCGACACACCTTCTACCTAAGATGTATAATTTTGCCAAGTTTGAAAGCTCTAGGTCTAATAGTTTTCTAGTTATGAGCCATACAGGATTTTTCCATATTTGGTCATAGCATCTTTAATTGTAAAGGTCACAGCGACCTACTTTTTTCGCGCACACCGTATAACAGAATGTACAACTTTCAAAGTTTTTTTTAAAAATAAACAAGTTATGAGCCGGATAAATAAAAACATAGCTACATGTAACTGCAACTGCACGGGCTAATTGTGAACACCGGATTATAGTGCTTATAAAAAGAAGCGATATCATGGCATTCTTTAAATTTTAATTATACCTTTTTAGCAATTTGAAGATCATTTGAGGTGGCATTATTGATTTTAAAAATAAATATATTCGATAAATTATTCGACTTTATTTCATCCTATACATGTATTACTGTTAACAGACGTGTTTGAGAGTTAATTAATTTTGAGTGACTATTGGTACAAAAAAAAGATGTTTTTTATTAAACAATTTGATAAAACTTAAAAATGAATTTTTAAAGAATCCATGTAATGGTATATATCTATATATTAATGTGGTCGTAATCTTAAATCCCCCCTTTCGACGCGATTAAAAATTGACAAGACTTTACAGGTAAGAACATCTAAGCTGAAGAATAACAGTAGCTGGCCCTGCCGCGGCATAAACACGGTCTCAGGTAGCACAGCGATCAAAACCCGCGACGGTGTAACGCGGAAAGGATCAATACACCGCGGAGGGGACGCGGTCTGATATGGGATCCGCGTTGCCTGTACAGTATTTTACACTATTTACAAGAGAATATTTTTATGTGTAGAAATATTACTGTCAAATTTCATCTCAAGATACTTATGAAAAAGAAAAAAAATATCACAGAGATAGGAGAGAGAGAGAATCTTGTCTATATACCTTTTCCTCTGATTTGACTGCCACTGACGTTAAATTTGTCACCATCACATCTTTCTTATCAGCTGATCCTGTCATTTTAATATCATGTTTCAGGTCATCACTGTTGTTTCCAAGGAGATCTCGAATGGTTTCATTGTAAATCTCCAGGAAAGAGGCCTCAAATTCATACTGTATAAAAAACGAAAAATACAAAATCTTCCAACCTGACAACAAAATGAATGGACCAATTTACACTCAAAGTTGAAGAGATGTAATGTCCCCATGAGCAAATCTGGGCAGTTTTCACATTAAGCAGACTTAATACATGTACTAAAAATTTATAACATTTTTGGGGTTCAATTTTAGTTCCTATCTCAATAATTACAGCTAAAAAACACAAGATACTGTATAGTGCATACATATACATGTACATGTATTTGACAGGTAAAACAGTGATTAAAAGTCCCCTACCTGCCACCCTTTGCTGACCAGGTCTTGGGTACTGTCAAATATCTGCCCCACAGCCCGGGGGATCATTCCAGCGTGCTCAGGACTGAACTCTGAAGGTCCCTCCATTGTGTGTGTCTTACCTGATCCAGTTTGTCCATACGCAAAAATACAGACATTGTATCCATCTAAGGCACTCTGTATGATATAACAAATACATGTATTCAAATAGACAGATAGAAGGACCAATACATACATCATACTATTACATAAGCTCTTCTGGTCTCTGACAAATATTGAAATAAAGCCCACAAACCAAGTCCCAGCAATCCTCATCTGTATCACTCCCCACCCCACCCCCCAACTCCTTTTGACTTTTATTGCACAATGCCTTTGCACATTTGAAAGAAATGTGGCATATACTGTATAGCGGGTTTTATTGGTGGGTGTAAAATTTGGCGTTTTGTCTGCTCAAAGGTATGCCAATAAGGCTTTCTAAATTTAATTCTTTGGTTCTCAGGCCAATTTTCTGTAAAACAGATGCGGGAGGGCGGCATTTTATTTATCATTTTATTGGCAATAAAATAGATGAGGGAGGTATTTTTTTTAATTTTAATTCGAATTTTCTGTAACATAAAGGTAATTTTTTTTAATCACAGATATACTTTCCATTTCTGGTCAAAATTTCTGCTTTATCCATTGCTTATCAGCGTGTAAACATCTTAGGTAATGTCCTCGAATGTATTTTCAAACGAAGTAGCCAAAATTTCATTGCAAATGGCTACCAGAAGTAATATTTGAATACTAAACTATGAAACAAATGAGGTCGGATTTTTTTTTCCGGATTGGTCTCCGCAATACCAACTTTTTATTTTATCAAAAATACAATAAAATTAGCAATGCGGCTACCTCAAAATGGATGCGCGCGGGCCTGAGAACCAGAATTTCAATTTTATATAGCCTAATATTGGTGTAATTTAATTTAGTGGACGCAGGGTTTCAGCGCTTTGCAGATGGACAAGAAGAAGAGTACTGACTATTTAAGCGATTAAAATTTTAGTGGACTATCATCAAAATGCGATTAAAATGTTAGCGGACTATCATCAAAATGCCAAAATAAGCCAAAATCAGCACCCCAATAAAATAACTCGCTATTCAATAGTCCAGATTTTGTCACAAATAGCCATATGGTCAGTATAGTGACAGAGAAAATAAATGAAAGGCAATCAAGTAATTTCATTAATCATTATTCATCTCTATGACCTGGACATAGAAACTTACAAATTCTAAGACAAATACCTGTACAAGTTGACAAATTTCCTCAAACACCTGAGCTTGAGTGCTGTCAGGGTTAAATACTCTGTCAAAGGCAAACTCATACTTGTTGTTCCCTTTCCTGTTTGCTGTCAAACAACTCTGTTGAATAAAAGTAAACAAAAATCCTCTTATTTTTTATGAATTTATAATTAACAATGACTCATGAAAATGACGTTACAATTTTCCGTTCAAAATTTCAAGCAATATATTTTTTTCTTTGTCATTAAATTTTCAAATCATCTTCAAATGAGGCAAAACTCAATCAAGTCAACTGTAAATATCAAATCCACACACTGACCTCGTTCAGACCAGCATCTGAGATTTTTTCCAGCTCCAGTATCTTGCTGTCTACGTCCGGGAAACCCATGTGTTGTATTGTACCATCATTTCCCAATAATTCATCTCCAAGCAGAGGACGAACTCGACAAAACACTCGGATATTTCCCTAGAAATTGATCAATAATTTACTGGTACTTATTGTTAATAATTGTTTGTAAGCATTCGCCATGTTCACAGAATTACTTAGCATTGTTAAAGATTCATAAAATATATAAGGGTGCATGTTTGCTGAAAACAAAGTCGACATCTACCAACAGATACATGGTAAGCTTGATATAAATAGCTTATTATTTGACATCTTTACATATGTATTATATTTTTCAAATTTATATAATTTTCTATAAATAACATTAGGCCATAATAAAAATATTCCTAGATTCTCATCCCCGCCCGCCCCGAATTTAAACCCCCGCCTCGATTTTTTTAAATTTCTGTTTTTCTTCGTCTTAATTCTGATCGGGATCGGTATTCATCTACCATTCTACTTTCGTTTTAAATCCCGCGAAAGTCGACATGATTTTGACAGCTGAAAAGATGGTAATTGCTGTAATACATGCGTATATATTTTAAACAAGGGTCATTGGTTGAAAAAGATTTGGTGATGATGTGAAGTAAGGCCATATAAAATTGAAATCTTGGTTCTCAGGCCCAAGCGCATCCGTTTTGAGGTAGCCGCATTGCCGATTTAATTGTATTTTTGATAAAATAAAAAGTTGGTATTGCGGAGACCAATCCGGGAAAAAAAATTATTCGTTTCGTAGTTTAGTATTCAAATATCACTTCCGGTAGCCATTTACAACGAGATTTTGGCTACTTCGTTTGAAAATACATTCGAGGACATTACCTACGATGTTTACACGCTGTTAAGCAATGGATAAAGCAGAAATTTTGACCAGAAATGGAAAGTATATATGTGATTAAAAAAATTATCTTTATGTTAAAGAAAATTCGGAAATTAAAATTAAAAAAAATACATCCCTCATCTACTTTATTGCCAATAAAATGAAAAATAAAATGCCGCCCTCCCGCATCTGTTTTGGAGAAAATTGGCCTGAGAACCAGGGAATTAAATTTAGATAGCCTAAGAGATAATTGAACCTTTACTACGACTTTTATTCGGGTATTGTAGATAAAATTACACCGATTGACCAGGTCAATAAAAAATCTGCAAAATTGAAAAAATAAAAAATATAAAATAAAAGCCGCCCGCCCGCCTCAATTTTCAAAAAATTTCGGATGAGAATCTAGCAATTTATTTATTATGGCCTTAATGGATTCTTTTAATATAGTATATAAGCTACATTTTGGTTGCATATTTATATATCAATTTTCATGTGCAGACATTTAGTAAAGCATTTTATTTTTTTCCCCCTTAAATCACACTCTGTTTCCTGACTATAAGTTAACACAATCTGAAAATAAATTCCCAAACCTTCAGCTCCTGAATGGTGTTGTGGAGTTTACGCCTCATGGTTTCGTGTTCTTGTTCCTTGATTTTAAAACTTTCTATCTGAGCCTCCATGAGCGCCACTAGCTGCTTAAGTTCTCTGATTTTACTGTCTTTTTCTCGCCCAGAACCCTCAGACTGTTGCAGACTGATCTGTAGAGCCATACAATTTACAAATGAGTTAACTAAGCATCACCTGGGAATAGTTCATAACCATTTTTTACAGAAAAACTTCTAAGAGTAGGATGTGGTCAAAACATAAATTCTCTAGACAGCAGGGATTAAATGAAATTCCATATATGTGAAGGGGGCTTAAAATTAATGGCACCCACTCCTTGAGTTCTATTTCAATGCCAAAAGGAAGAGAAAAATCCATTTAATCAGTTTTAAATATTTTGAAAATGTTTTTAAATATTTATGTAAATTTGGTACTGCTTTTTGTATGAGTCAAATTGTACAGATGAAATAAAAGCAGAGAACACTTTAATTGATGATAAAGAATTCACTTAATCATAATTGATTATTCTTTGTTTTTAAAACAAGTATACAAACCTTTGTAGCGTCGAGCTGTGCTGCAATGCCAACCTGAGCGGTTTGGAGCTCTGCTACAGAAGACTTTAGTCCTGTGATTTCTATAGTTTTAGCACTGACTTCTCCTTCTAATGAATCCTTTTGTCTTTGTAAACTGTCCCTTAGAAACGTAATGTTGTCAATTTCCATCTGTAGTTTGCGTTTTGTCTGGTCAAAATTGGTCTCCAGTTCTCTGTACAAAACATTGAAAAATTTATAGGTTATTTCGATGAACAAAACAAACAGATACAAAACACAAATAGAGCAACCCCTCCTTTTACACCACACAGATTTGGTTCTTAACATGTAAGACAGAGAAATGTTTTTCCTCTCTGTACAAGTGTCATAGTTTTCCTTCCGACTCATTCAAATGTTTTAGAATAGATAGGAATGAATATAAAACAATTTCTCAATGAAGAATACCTGGGTATTTTACTGTCTTAATTTATCCCTTGTGTAAATCTGAGACAATCAATCCTATTTTACTTTTTTTCAGCTAGGTATTCCTTGTAAATCAGGTACATGTAATCAAACTCATTTTACTATTTTTAGCTATCCCTTATAAATCCTGTAGAAAATCCAACCTAATCTGTCTCTGGTACTCCTCAATTTGTTTAGAAGCCCCGTGTACGATTTCCTCTTTGTGCTGGACATCCCCGTACAGTTTATTTTTCTCAGACTCTAGGCTGGCGATACGGATGTTGTAATCCTGTAACTGGGTCTCCAGACTGTCTCGCTTGGACGACTGCTTGTTCAGCAGTTCCTCCATGTCCTGAAGCCGACCCTTCAAGTCCCATGCTGGTCGCTTAGCTTTGGTGCCTTATACATAAACAAATACATGTAGATTAAAACCAATATATTGATGTACTAGATTAAAACTAGCATATTGATGAAGTATCATGTTCATATCGTAGCTCTGTGTAGTTACATGTATATATGCTGTTAAAAAAATGTAAAAAAAAAAAAAAAAAAATAAAAAAAAATAATATAGCAATACTTTAAACTGCTTAATTTATGCTCAGGAGAGTTTTAATCTCAAAGAACACAGCAAAAGTTTCCAGTATGTTGGAGAATTTGAAGAACATCAAGGGTAGTATACTGTATGACTAGTATAAGAAATGTTTGACAGATTGAGTACCTGTTGCCTTGGGTACAGTTGGCCCGACAGGGGGTTTCTTTTTACCTACACTTGTCTTAGAAGCTGACCCGACAGTTGGCTTCGGGGCTGCAAATAAAACAAAACAACTGGAATTTTTTTTAAAGGTAATCAGAGAAATCAATTGCAGGGATAATCAGTTTTATGATTTTTATTGTAATACTTCAGAAAATTGTATGCTTTAATGTAATATATATATGCTACAGTAACTTTAAATATTTGTAGAAGCAATCTTTCCAAAAAATAACAAAGTACTTCACACTCTATGACACATTTTCCATCATTAAGCAGATTCAAAAGGCATCAAATAACACATAAAAACATTGGGTGATTCCATAAAAGCTCCTCAATGTTCTTGGTATGACTTGTTTCGAAAGTATGATGTATGAGTGTCTAAAAATAAATGCAGAAAAAAAAAGAGACCTTGTTCAAGTTTTGTGAGGTTACCTTGTACAACTTTTAAAACAATAAACTGAAGACCTCCTTACTTTTCTTTACTGCTGGTCTCACCACGCCTGTAGTTGTTCTGTTGAGAACCGAGTTAGATCGCAGGCTTCCTGTGCTGCTACTTGACCGGAAACTATTGTTCAAGCTGGATTTCCCCACTGACTGAATGCTTGTGTCATGAAGATTTTCTGTTGATGCACTAAGTATTTTCCTCCTTTTTTCAGTTGCTACCACTTTTGGAGCATTCTGTCAAATTGCATAGATTACAAGTTAGCTAATTCTTTCATATCAAGCTTTTTGAATTTGAGAAAAAAATCTATATAATATATAAGTTAATTACAGAATTATAAGCATGATAGGCATGACATATGAGGCATACTTTGCATATCTTCCGATGAAGAGTTTTAGTGGCATTAGCATTTATGTAAAATTTAGTGAAGCACAATTAATTGTCTGTTTACTATATGACATTTAATGATGGGGAAAAAAATCACTATCTACCGCAATGCGGTGTTCACTCGGCTCTGGGCAATTGTCTAGAATATGTACTTATGTAATTTTGTCAGGAGAAATTAAAAATACCATGAGAAGTCCAGAATACATGACCAGATTGGTAGATAGCTGCAGATCTGTAGCGTCATGGTTTTATATATTTGTCTTTGACCATAACGCTACAGATCCCGTAGTGCAAAAAAGGTGCAATTTACAGCGCAATATTTTTTGCGCTCTTTTGGGGAGAATTTCTCTACTTTCCAGCATCGTTCAATCAACTACCTTTCAACCCCTAATTCTAGACACATTATTTAATTAATTTGTATATTTTATCTATCTCCAAACCCTTTATAGTCGTCTCTACAAGTGATAAACTCGCTTGATCATGTTGATTAAAATTATTTGTTAGATTACTGAAAATTCATATCCAGAAAGTTTATTGCCTGTAGAGACAACTGTAAATGGTTAGGAGGTGGATAAACTATACATATTGGCCACAGAATGTGTCTAGAATTAGAACGTGAGAGGTAGTTGATTGACCAAAGCTAGGAAGTGGAGAAATTCTCCCCAAAAGAGTGCAAAAAAAATATTGCGCCGTAAATTGCACCTTTTTTGCACTACGGGATCTGTAGCGTTATGGTCAAAGACAAATATATAAAACCATAACGCTACAGATCTGCAGCTAATTGGTATAGACATGTAATTTATGAGGAAACTATAATGAAAAAGATAACAACCTCATCAGGACTGCGGGCTCTCTTCTTAGCACTAAACGTCGGTAAACGACTTCGAGTCGCAGCTGAAATTTTCTTATCCTGTACAATTATAAACATCAATATTTACCATGTGTACAGTCACACTTAAAGCATATTTACTCATTCATCTTAACTTTCAATATGAGATATTTCATTACAATGTCAATATCTTATTTTCTATTGTTTTCATGTGTCATTCAAATATATATTTAGATCAAATAACCTGTGTTTCTGCCATCACTTAAACTTTCCGTGTTTTACGATATTATTCTCATTTCGAATCTTGCAGCTAAAATATAACGTACAATTTCATTGGTCACTTTGTATATGAATACTAAACGCTGATTGGATAATTTTAGAAGTAGTAGAGTCGTACCACAACATACTCGACTTATAATCAATGCTTGTATTAGCAATCCAACTGAAAGTTAGATAAAATAAAATTATGCTTCAACAAAGTAATAATAACTAAGAGAAAACAAAGTTCAACAGTCCGTATTCCTTAAAGCTCGCTGAACAATGATATTGTTTTTTTTCATGGGCTAATGTGATATTGTCTTTTTTTTTTTTTACCATTATTATGTTTATCACTTACACAGATATTGCATTTAAATAATTATTATGAAAAAACGTATATGTTGTGATAAACTAATTGAAGACATAATTCAGTTTTACACTGATGTCTTCATTCTTCAAGTGTAAATGTAGTCGAAGTGCACCAAATGATTTTAAATTTTGCCGCGTCAAGCACCTGATTTTTATTTTACGACCTTCAATTTTTAACTGACGTTGATATTTCATTTTTCGTTATTTAAGACCACATATAAAATGTTTTAAGAAAGTTTCATTAAAATAAGGAAAGCTAAATAAATGAAAATAATATTATTTGTTTTTCAACAAATCACGACAACCAGATTAAGAAAGCTGGTTGCTACACAACAATTTTATCCGAGGAAAACTAAATATCTAGTAATTTTTTTTCAAAGCTGACAAAATATGGTAAGAACAAAACATTGTTTTGTTAGAAGTAACTGTTCTTGGTATATTGTAATTACCAAATCCATATCACTGACCAGTAAACGCACTCTGTAGTTGTCTGTGCCGGACCGAATTTTCTCAGATTTGATACATCAGTCATTGGATGTAGATTTCGGTCAATCTTAGAGCACCCAACTAGTGATACAGAAATCTCTAATGACATCCTAGGAATTTGACATTAGCATTCTTATGCTATTAAATATATTTCGTTGATCATGTTGATGTCCACCCTTCCCATTCTGACATGATTTTTTTATTTAATATTTATTTATTTTGTGATCTGCTGATGGGATATAAATATCTCCAAAAAGAGATAGATGTTGTACAGAAGGAAAATGTTTATGAATATAATAAATTGACCCTACATTGTCTTAACAGGCAGGCTTGATGCTTCGATCATGTAGGTCCACATGCAGTGCCTCGTTTAATTTTTTATGACAGGTTATTTTGTATGCTCATATATATCAATTTGTCTCCAGAGACTGCTGAAGTAATAGTTTATATAGTTAGTGGAATGTATGAAGAATTGTTGAAATAGGGGCAAATACTTTGTATCAGCACTATTGCTATGTGAAACAAAGTGTGTATGAAATAAATTTTTATTCCCAATTTATTTTGAATATTTAAGCCTCCAAAGCCAAAACTCAGCAAGGCTGAAAAGGAGAAGCTGAAAGCAGAGGAGGATTTGAGGAAAGCAGCGGAAGAAGGTATACAATACAATAGAATATAGAATAACCAAGTAAAATATGAATTGTAGATATACAGAATGTGTAAGAAAAGCATAAAAGTTTACAAATGAATATCAGTGAATTTTCAGAATTAACTAATAGACTAGTACAGGAGGCCTATTTACCTGTTGTGTTTAAATTGAATGTTTTATCAAACAGAGGAACTAAAGGCAATATTGCTTTTGCTTCAAAAATATATTAACTTACAAATTTAAAAGTTCTCATATGTAAAGCGTATTTAAATGTAGATTTTTGGGCAATGTTTAAGTACCCCTATCACCCCCACCCCTTCCTTTTTTGGTGCAAATATACTAGGAGTGATATAAATGGAATAATTGTAGTTTCTTTCATGTCATTATTTCACATTTGCATAGATGAAGGCCTAGTACACCCCTCATGATATTGTAACAGTGTTACGCATTCTTTCAATCAGAATGTCGTCGCTTCTAAAGTTAAAATGAAAATTCCGTATTCGTCCACATTAACTTCAAAATATCAAACATTAAACTCTTCATCTATTTCAATTTCTATGAAAAAGAAAAGGGAAAATGAGGTGGGACTTACACTCATTACCTCTTTAACATGTTTGGATTGAGTATGTATATGTTATCATCATTTTGATGCAGTTGTAAAGATATCATTGGAATATAAGAGAGTTTTTTAATAATTAATCTACAGGAAAAGAAAGACAGACGAGTCGAAATGACTCAACTGAATGCCATCCTGCAAAGCAACAGAGAGGCACTTCAGAATCTCCACAATGAAAGACGAAAACAAATGAAGGTACCTGTTTATCAAAATTGAAAAAGGCATAATTATTAAACGACAGACTTCTCTCCCTATTTGCTGTGAAGTATATAGAGCTTAAATAATTATCTGAAGACCTAAGTTTAATCAGTAAAGAATTAATTGTTTATTGCATCTGAAAATTGTTTTGTAGTGGAACCGGTACATGAGATGTGATGGTTCTCCCGACCCCACAAACCAAGGGGAGATAAATACATACATTAATCTTAGATTGGAAGACACTGCACATGATGATGTTGAATCTGTCTTCAAAGCCAGTGAATTAGACACAAAGGTCAGGGGATTTTAATAAATATGAGTTATTGCGTATAGAGTATAAATTGATCTATGACAAATATGAAATGAGTATGATGTAAGGGATGCACAGAATATAACCCTCCTCTTTCCCTCTTAATATTGTAACAGCTAATAATGGAACTGAACTTTTTACTGGAGGACACACCACCAGAAGAAATAACGGACAGAGAAAAGTATCTGTACAATCAAGTAAGAACATTTAGAGAAGATTCACCAAATCTAAATGTGACCACAATTGACGTAATGTCTAAGTCTCTTAGATGATTGATAATTTCATTTGGTCTTTGCAAGTCAATTTCATATTGATAAGGTTATGTTTTTACTTCACTATTTAAAGATCTGTTGACTATTTCTATGATAAATATTTTTGTTGTTTATTCACTTACTGGTAATTTTTTTTAGATAAAGGAAGAGTTACAGGCCTTGATTAAAAAGAAGATGGATTCTGCCACGCTCCAGTTGTTACAGGAGGCAACAGACCGTGCCGACTCGGAGACCTTTAACCTTCAGTTTGAACACAAGAGTCCTGATGTGTGCCTCAGTATCTGGGGAAATCTCAGTAAAAATCCCAGGTCTGATTTCTACAATGTTGAATTAAAAGTTATAATGTTAACTCAATCTCATTACAAAAGAAAGACTCTTAGGGGAGATGTGTGCAGGGAAGTCTGCGATGCTAGTTGAAATATGCTACTAACTTGTACTATTAACTATACATTTAAAACTATACTTCCTTACTCACATTTAGTAAATCTAAAAAGCATAAGTAATACATGGAACTTAGTTATCTACAAAAATTCATCATTTACAATTCTATACTTGATATTACGTACATGTACAACTAAAGTGCAGAATTATGTGAGTGACAATAAACACCACATAGAAATATTTTTAGTGTGTATTACATGGACTATTATTGTCTTTTTTGATGTGTCATCTTTTATAAACTTTCAGAATTAAGTCATTTGAGTTTGCCAAGCAGGGACTGACATTTGAAATTCCCCGAGTGTTGTGTTTGTCTGACTGTGCTATTCGTGTTCTGGATCCTAAATATGACCACTATTCACCTACATGTAAAAGCTTCTATCCAAGACAAAAGGTCAAAAAAGGTAATTAAAAAGTGGCTACAATTTCCTCTGTATTTTAAAGAAAATCTTGTCACTGTCCTGTCCATGGGATATTGGTGCCAATCAAGTAAATTCAGGTTTGTGGGAATCTTCAATATGTTGAATAGCAGGAAAAGGGCAAGTTGAGTCCACATTTTTAACTATACTGATCTGTAATTTTTTTTATGTTGAAAACATTATTTCAAGATCTTAGTAAATTTTTCTGAGTTTTGAAATATAAAATCTTAACTGTATTGAGAGAAATATGTACATGTAGATTTGTGATTGTAAAGTGAAGATTTGAGAGAAAAGTCAGTAATTTTAATGATCTGTTGTCGTAAGTTGAGGCCCCTGTTGAGGAACCCCAGCCAGAGGAAGGGGAGGAGAAAAAGGAGGAGAAAAAGGAGGAGGAAAAGAAAGAGGAGGAGCCAGAGGAAAAAGAGAAGGAACCAACAGTAAGTAGGGAGGGGCAGGGGCTGGGGGATGACCTGGTAGGGAGAGGAGAACTGTCACTGGAAAACTGTACCTTAATTTTTATATTTTTATAACTAAGTATATGACAAGAATTGGGGGGGGGGATCCAACAGGTACAACAGGGGAATGACCCAGGAAAACTGTATTTTAAATTTCTATGAATAGATTATACTCAGAGGAATACAAGAATATTGTTTAAATTTGTTTAAAATAGAAAATTAGAAACAAATATGCTAAGATTTTAAATGAAAAGAAAAATATTCTATATTCTATCTTCATATAAAGAATTTGAATAAAAAGAGAACAGATATGAATACTTAGGAGAATTTTAAGTAAACCCCCCCCCCCTTTAAAAAAAGGATCACAATATCAATTCAAAAACAAAAAAATACAAAACAAAAAAACAAACAAACAACCCCCCCCCCCCCCCCCCCCCCCCAAAAAAAAAAAAAAACACACACACACAAAAAGAAAAAACAAACTTTTCGTGTATAACAAGGTTTCTTGTTGAGTTCACTCCCATTTGATAATATTTTCTTGTGAATTATACACATTTCTATTGAAGGATTATGCACTTGAGTCAATTGTAAGTTTTTATTAAAAGTCTTTAGCATCTGTTTAGTGATTGGTATAGCTTTAACTTTATATTCATTTCACATTTTATAATCTATTACACATTTAGTATATTATGTGTACTTTATAAATAAGTGATATTGTAGTGGTATACGACTATTATAACATACTGTTATTATTTATATCACTGTTATGATTTCATCACATTTTGTTGAAAATGATTTATTTTTTTAAAATGTAAATGCTTAGTATAGTGTAAAACCAATTGATTTATGATTTTTTTGAGCAGTGCACAATGGGGAAAGGTTTTTCTGTTTTGTTCTTCTGATCACAATGGCTTGATTGGGTGAACACACCTGTTAGGGTCAGTAGGTTGTGGAAATGCACTTTATGGACAAAATATGGATACACTTATTACACCACAAACTGGCACAAAGCCTTGGAATTATAGCTCTACTGGTCAGAGACCAGAAGAGCATATGTGAGAGTAAGGTGTCCATCATCTGTCTAGCTCTCTATTTGCCTGTAAACAATTTTCAAAATTCTACTCCTCCTACAGGTTTGGTCTGATTTCAGTATAACTTGGCACACTCGTAGACTACATGAAGGTACATAATCGTTATTTATTTTGTCAGTTTTTGATTTTGATGAACAGTGCTGTCATGGTTACTAAAAATAGAAATGTCTGTGAAATACTTTTGAAACACTACTCCTCATCAGTTTTGGTGCGATTTTGATATAACTTGGCATACAACCACACTATACTTAGATACATGATAGTCTTAATCCTTTTTTTTGGAATTTAATGATGTTGACATGGTTGCCAAAAATCAACATTTCTTTTAAAAGGCTACTCCTCCTAGTTACCTTGCTATAAAATGATACTTAACCAAGGATCATTATTCTAGCTATTTTAAAATTTATTGCTGTTGCAAAGTTTAAAGTCCAAGTGCTACTTTTCTTTTCCTATGTTATAAGTACAAACCAGCAGAGCTACAGTTGCATCAGAGACTTTCTAGTTGTACTGTTAAAAGGATAGATCACTTTGAATTGCAATGAATATTTGGGGTAGAGAGCTGGGGGGGGGGGGGGGGGGGGGGGGGGTCATAGTTGCTACACCTTCACCTGAGTATTATTTTATGTTAGATTTATATATTTTTGATTTACAGCATTTAACATGTTTAATGACAGAAACTTACTTCAGTCTATACATGTACATCCGACTCGGGTCATCTCACTGAAATGAATGTTTTTACTTTTTTAAGTACATTAATGTTATGTTTGTTTGTAGCTCTTTATAGGCATGCACATTTTTCTCTTGAATATTGTATTAGATATTTTTGTTGAGTATATTGTTGTGATGAGAAGATGATGGTAAAAAATAACATCCACATGTGGTAAAAATATTGAAAAGACTGCAGGATAAGTGAGCTTTTAATTTTTTTGCAACAATTTTCAGACTGGAGAAGGAAACAAACCGGTATTACAGAACATGTTTTATTAATAGAGAAATGTTAAAACTAATAATTATTCTAAAAATTGAGTTCTAGAATATGTGTTAAAGGAAAGTGTTTACTGTAAACATAAAAATGCTCCATCTGGTAAAAATCTGTATATATTTTTAGTATTTTACAAGGAAGGAAGAAAATGTTGAATTTCAACTCATGTGTAAATAAGTAAAGAGAAATCTTGTGTTTTCCTTTCTCATACTCATCTTAGGTCTTTGTGAAAAAATTACCCCTGCAAAAGGTTTGATAGTCACGAAATATATTCCTAGTATTCGATACATATTTCATGTTTACAGTAATAAATCCTAATGGAGTTTTTAACACACACAAGTTTTTATGATGTCTGACATAATTATAGGCATTTCTGAATTGAAAAGATTTGAAAATTAACTAACTATATATCACTGAGTTTGTAACTTTGTTAACTACTGGATTATGTTAGGCTGATTGCATGGGCATGTATGTTGTATGTAAAATATGTTTCAGATCTAGATTTTCATGGATTTGCTTGAAATGACATAAAAGCAGTATGTTTTTGTTCCATTGAAATAAATCCAGTCCATTCATATTGCTTTATTTTAGCATAATGAAATAAACAGTCTCAATTTTAAATGCCTTTTTTTCGATATGTTAAAAGTCAAATTTCAATTTTTACCTTTGGAAAGAAGTACAAAGACTTATGATTGAATACAATGTCTCCATCTTTATTTGATTTCCTATCTCCTGTGTTCTAGGATCTAATGGCTGCTCTGGCTGAATTAGAGGATGGACCAAAAGAAGAAGAGGAAGAAACAGAGAAGAAGGAGGAAGAAAAAGAGGAAGATATTGAGGAATATGAGGAGCCTAAAACTCCTGGTAAGTCCTATTGAGGAATATCAGGTTGTCCAAATCTCCAGATAAATCCTTTTAAGGAATATGAGAAGCCTGAAACTCATTGTAAGTTATTGAGGAATGTGAGGAGTATGAATATGTGGTAATTCTGGTAAATCCAATTAAGGAATATGAGTAGCCTAAAACTCTTGGTATTAAGTCCTTTTGAGTCTAAAATGTGTTGTAAGATATTGAGGAATATGAGGAGCCTAAAACTCCTGGTCTGTAATACTGAGAAATATGAGAATTAGCCTTAAACTTCTGTTCAGTCCTTTTTTTCTAAAACTACTCTGGTTTGTTCTCTGAGGAATATTAGAGGCCTTTAACCCCAAATACTGTAAATGTATTATATTTGGCTTGTACAATATTTGGCGGAAATTGATTTTTGAATAGGTTAGCGAAGATTTGATATAGCGCATTTCTGCATGTTCTTATATGTGCAAGACATTTAGCCTTGTACTTGAATAAGTGGACCCTCACCAAAGGTGAAAGATACACAGCCAAAAATAAATATTTAATGCTAAGTCCTTCTGAGGAATACAAGGAACCTAAAACCCCGGATAATGGTCTGATGTAGGACTCTAGGTAACCTTTCTAAAGGTGATTTCCACAATGCTGATGTTGTAATAACATGTATATATTAGAAAATTTCTTAATAACTCTCTGTTTGTTCTATAGAGCCTCTGGAGTGGGAAGATTTTGAAGAGGATGAAGATGTGGTGGATCTAAGAGCTAATGATATTGTGGGGGGTGTATTCCACTTTGATCTTATGGCACTCCCTCCCCAACCCAAAACCATGAACAAATGGATCGTCACTAGATGTAAGGACAGTCTATTTTTAAGGAGGGGGGATATTGTCATAATGTTTAATATTATATTTAATATTATATTATCTTGGTTTTATGGCATTAAATGCCCCTGTTTGTAATAATTTTAACAACTTGAAATGACAGATGTAGGATATATGCAAATACACTAGACTCTTACATCCAATTAAAAGTGTGCTTGTTAATTTTTGTAACAGTGGTGGATCCCCCAGAAATCGAGTACATAGATTATGTAGCTGACTCAGTCACACAGATGCCCAAGGAAAACCAGAGTAGTGGTAATACCCCAGTCCAAGGGGAGAAGAGAGATGATAAACCACCCATAGGAATTGCAATGAAGTAAGAGAGAGAGAGAGAGAGAGAGAGAGAGAGAGAGAGAGAGAGACTGACTTATATCTTGATGGAGTGAGAAAGAGAGAGAAAGATTATAGAAAATCCAACATATTTTGATTGCTGTGGGTATTTTTTCAGACTTCCAAGTCATGTGCTGTTTTCTGAGGAGCCCCTCATTGCTCGCTGGGATTACAAGAAGAAATACTGGAGACAGGATGGATTTACAGATATGAGCTATGATGAAGGTCTGTGGCTCAACACTGATTTAATGAACTAAACTGCAGCACTGTGAGAACTGGTATCTACTTATATTACCAGTTTTCAGACTGCTGGAATTTATATATATTTCTTATTACCAGGTAACCTTGATACAGATCTATAAAATAAAGCATTATGGTATTAAGCTATGCTGATATAAATTTTAAGCCTATTTTTTTTTGTTTACAGATAACAGGATTTTCTCCTTTAAGACGGCGTACTTTGGACTTTTCGCCCTCCTTCAGGACTCCCACCTTAACATGCCGTTCCAGTCCTGGGAGCTCCGCCCACATAAAACTAATGCCTGTGTCCTCACCATTATAGCAGCCATCGTAGAAGTGGAAATCGAAATAAAGGTATAATCTTATAAAGATACTTCAATTATACGATTTTATAAGCTTCCTTTATGAAGACAACTGTTTTCATTTTAAGTTCTCTATAATAAAGCAAATATATTGTAAACTAGATGAGATCTCGTTGCGAGCAACGATAATTTCAGTAAGGAATTGATTTTGACTGAGATAAAAGAGAATGACTTTAAGTTTCCCTTCATTAAATTTAAAATTTGTGCTTTTTAAAATCAACAAATTATTAAGGCTGAAAAAATATTTTTTTGAGCAAATATTCAAGTTTGTCCCTTGTAATCTTTTTACGTAATATGATCAATGTTATCATATATTGATGCAAATCGTTATGATGTAATTTTGCCCCAGTAATATATATTTTTGTTTTGTAGGATGCCTTGTGCCCCTCTAAGTAAACCCGAATTTGAGGGGTCAGACCCTTTTTCTTGAATCAAATGAAAGGTCTTATGATTTTGAAGATTTTTTGTCACACCTAAAGAATTTATCGTTGTATATAACAACTTAAATATTTTATATTAGTACTACAAGTCCTTAATGGGGCCGTTTTACAAAAATTCAAAGTATGCATATTGTTTGCATTATTCCGACATGTTTTCTTATTGTTTAATGTAAAATATTCCCCATTTTAAAATATAAAGCATCAAATATTTGATATTCTCCTTTGTGATTAAGTAACATATAAATAAATTTGTATCATATATAGTTTACATGTCGTTAAGATAACACTTTTGCTTCAGTAATTTATGCAGATCATGATTAGAGAGTTATATAAATTTGTTCCCAGCTGATGACTCCTCCAAATATGTCAGCATTCAAAACAAGGTCAGATAAATCTAAGATTTTTTGTTCAGTACTGCAATAGCTAAGATTTCTATTTGTGATACTACGTCTTATAAACAAAAATTCAAAGTTTCAAATTGAATTCATTTCCTTCTTTTGTTCAATCTCACTTTAAGACAGAAATTTAACAACATATCTTTTGTTTGAATTCTTTCATTTCTTTAATTCAATATTGTATCAAAAGAATAAAGCAATCATATTTGAATATATTTACCTCTCGTTCATTTTAGAATCCTATTGTTACAAACTGGCTGTATGAACAAATGGCACTGCTGTCGTCTGCGATGGCCTTCTCCTGGTCCAAGTGGAACAGCGAGATGGAGACAAGTGATAAAGTTTTGTTCCAGGGATCTGAAGCTCTGGAGGATGAACCGCTGCTGGAGGTAGGGGCCACAGAAGGGGGCAAAATATATAAAACTATACCTTATATTGGAGCAAGTTTTTTGACAACACCTATCCTGATTTATTATTGTAGATATGTAAAAGTGGAAATTTTAGCGAGACACAAATTTAGCGATTTGTCCTCAAAAAGTGATATTCAATTTTTAGCGAGATGTAATATTAGCGATTTTAAAATGCTCACTAAAGAAGCTATTACATATAAAATGCAATTAATTTTTAGCGATATTCAATTTTAGCGATCCACTCTCGTAAATGCCAAAATTTTAAATATATTGTAAAAATTCTGCTTGTACATCTTCAAGCTCTCTGTAATTTTCATAAAAAATGTTTTACTTAAGACTGTAAGTCTGATATAATAATAAACTCAGGTCAGATTTTAATACAATTAAATGACAGATTTTCTCAAACTGTGTTTTACAGGAGGACTGGGGTGTTTACATGGCCACGAAGAAGAGATGCATGAAGCTCCGCTGTACAGAGTTTGATGAAGAGTTCTCAGAGGAGTACGCTGAGGGAACAACAGTAAGTCTCCCAGACATGTAGATGGTGTGAACTTGTGACTTTTCCAAACGAAGTCAATACTTTTATTTGGACTTGTTATTACCACATAATAACTTTTCCCAAAGATTTTTTGTTAATAATGCGCAAATATGCTTTAAAGTTTTTATTTCTTGTAATATATTGTTCCAATACTGACAAAATTTAAAAATACAATGTAAACAAAAATATTTTTTGGTCAAAAATGGAGGAATTCATTGAAGGAAGGCAGTTATTGATAACGCGCTAATATTTTCCAGTATCTATGGGATATGCAATGTTGTTGGTATTTTCAATATCTATCCACATGCAATGTCGTTTTCAGTTCCGCTCCAACCTGTACCATACCGTGTTGACTCAGTGCTCTGAGGAAGCCAAGGAGAGAATCAACAACTCCAGTTATCAGTACGTGGACTGTGTGGAGCAGATACTGAAGGCTACTAAAGTACTCACATACTCCTAATGAAGACTTTCATACTCCTAATGGAGAGCTGCGTAAAGGGAGACAACTTCTATTCAAAGACTTGCATAGTGTGAAAATGTGGGGAGGCATCTGTGTACAAAGGCGAAAGCTGTTAACATGGATATGTCTTTTCATGATATGATTCTTCATACATGTATTTTAATTTTGATATGTTAAACTGTGTTTTGAATGAAGAAATTTACTTGTGTCTTATTTCAAAAGTTAAAAACTCAAAAAAAAAATGTGCTTTAAACAGGAAAACTGTTCAATTGTGATATGCTCTAATGCTAAGTTTTTTTTCAAAATCAACAAAAAATGGAAAACAAGCATAATCTTTTTATGTAAACCAAGCTTTTTTATGTTTCATTGTTGTAAATATTTTTTTGTTTTGTACTTCTTTATGATAGAATGGACAGTCACGTTACATTGAAATGTTAAGATTCTAATTGTAAATATTTCTTACAAAGTGCATTAAAATAAAATTGAGATAAATATCTGTTAATATTTTTTTTTGGTAAAATTTAATTATGATTGTAATTTTTTGTGTATGATATCTTTAAAGTTATGTTTCCTGATGACATTTTTTACAAAAAAGACTGAATCAAGGGATTTTCATACATTTAGTCAATAGTTGCATCCATCTGTCTTCCATTTATGTAAAATTCACATGTATCTGTAAATCAAGGCATTTGCATTTGGAGGCATTATTTCCCCATGTTAAAGGTGCACATCACAAAATAAATCCAACAGGAAATCTCTCTATTTTGAAGATTCTTCCATATATGTATAATCTGTATAAATCTCATTGTTCATTCATCAATTTTTCATTGTAAATTCCATAAAATTTTTGACAATAAGTGAAACAAGGGTAAAAAATAAACCATGTTAAGTCTGTAAAATATTGTACAGCATCTCAACATTCTCCTGGTCCATGGACAAGAACAAGTCACAAATCCATGTACTTAAGGTTGAGGATTCTGGTCCATTTATTCACACCTTAATAAATATAGTATATGAATTGGCATAAATCTTGTAAATTCCATAAAATATGCCAGTGAAACATAACAAAATGTAAAGTCTGTAAATGTGTTTTACTGAAAGCTCATATAATAAATCACTGATTTTGATAGACAAGTGACAGTTTGCTTATCAGACCTATGTTATGGATATACATTCAGATATGAAAGCAATGTAAAACTTATATACACACAAATAAAGCAGTCCCAAAGACTTCAATACAAGATTTTCTGTAAAATTGAAATACATTGTACACGTAAATCACAACCAAAAATGAAAGCTCTTGATATATAAAACATTTTACCCAGTCCCCCCCATCTAAAAAAATTTTTTAATGACCTAGATATGAACACATGAATGTTTTTCAAGAGAGGGCAGTTGTTATGGTCAGAAACTTGAGAAAATTAAATAGATCTATTCAACTTTATATTCTTATAAATTTCACTTTATGGCAGTTCTGAATGTTACATATTGACTTCTATTATGTAAGCTTAACCTGTCAAACAAAACTGGGAAAGGAATAAATAACTGGGTTCTACCCATAAGACAAGACTTTGCTGCCAATACTTCAACAGTTAATTACATGGCATAAAATAAAAAAAAAACAATTGTTACATGTACATAAGTGACAATGATAATTTATAGGACGGAAAACATTTCACTCAAAAAATGTGTTGAAAATCCTTTTCTGTGGATTTCATGACATTGAAAAAAAATTGTACATATTTCTACATGCATTTGCCATTTTTTAATAATATCACAAAACAACAGTGCAATGTGAAGTATTATTACATTTTTTACATGTAACTTGACAAAGCAATATGATGTTTACAACATTATCAACACAATTGGTTTTCATAACTTGACAGCCTGAAATGTGCACATGTATGCTTAGACTGAGATCCTTCTGACATATCACTACAATATTGGCAGTTCTTTCATTAAAAAAAGACAAATCTTTAAACTAAATAATGTACAGCTCTCATAGTGAATAAATCTTCAGTGCACACTTCTAAGCACTTCAGAAGCATATCTTCACTATACATCTGTATTGTGTACACAGACTTTATGACAGAATCAGGAGTTTTTATTGTGTGGTAACCCTCTGTTTGTCATTATTATGGAGACATTATTAACACCCTGTGGTCACTAGCACTATATCACTTCCCCACTGCTACCTGGTAATCAGGGGAGATATTCCATGGCATAACACAGCACCAACCAAATGTCAGGAATGAACACATAAAATAATACACTAATGACTCAAAGCTTCAGCCCCAAGGATTGTTACCTCAGCCAGGGTCGAGAGAATCTGAAATGTACATCATGTAAAATTCAATTAACAGTTATTACCTTTGGTACATCACTTAGATGTTATTGGAAACATTGTATCATGTACAATTTCATAATATTATTAATGAAAACATTTCACCACGGGCATTGTGGTTTTCACTTTTCTGGGATTTCAGATTAAATCCTCTGCTCACTTTTTAATAAATGACTCAATAAAATGACTATGTTTGACATCAACATATAACACCCTGAAAAGGGAAGAGATCCTTACAATTTAATCTAGAGTTACCATGGCAGTTCTTTCTGCCTTTAATGGATAATGGTATACTCTCATCAGGAAATACTGTACACTTCTAATTCACATATTTTCATCTGGGTCAAATATATGACAGTGGTTTGAGGAAAATCTCTTTGTTCATTGGGATTTGAATTCGTGGATCAAGAATTAATGAGTACTTATGAATGTAAAATTTTACATTTCATGGTGGACATGAATTTGTTGGTCTTGTCATACCTCGAAAACAAAGAAAATTAAACCCCCATGAAAATTTGTGATTTCACAGTAATCTGTTTGGTTTTGGGTGTGTACTACTTATATTTGGGAAATTAAATGTACAAAAAGAGGATGGTATAATTTCAACAAAAAGATTTAGATATACTCCATCAGAGGGAATAAGGACTAAATTTTCCCTGAAGAGAGAAGGGGGGGGATCCAACACTCTGATACTGATACTCTGTTGGAGGGTGGGTTGGTACATGTATAACTTACCCTGGGGAGGGGGTGGAGATCCCACATTCTGATGTAGAGATTGGGTGGGTTGGTATAACTTACCCTGGGGAGGAAATCCCACATTCTGATATAGAAATACTTTGTTGGAGGTTGGGTGGGTTGGTATAACTTATCCTGGGGAGGGGGTGGAGAAAGCGAGATGGGTATAACTTACCCTGGGGAGGGGGTGGAGATCCAACACTCTGTTGACTTGTACTGAGATTCGACCTCCGGACGGACACTTCCTTTTCTGTCATCAAACGGAGATTATTCCTGGAGATTTTTACTGGAGTAATACTGGTGTGTGTCACCACGGCATTCCGCGCTGAATTAGGTCTGGAACCATGACCTTCACTTCTACCACTCAGTGGACGGATTTCTCTCTCCCTGCTTCAAAAGCAAATAAGTACATGTACATGCATATTACATGTGGGGTATACATGTGTTTATTTAATTTGATAATATATTCCAATCAGATTTTTCTAAATATTATTAATTTTTATCTTCAATCTCAACTTGGTACATACTTGAGCGAGCTTGGAATGTGAGAGTGATTGTTTGACATGGGAGGTAACTCTGGATCATCAACAGAACTTTGTAAAGAGTTTAGGCCCACATCATCTTAAAAACAAATTAAAAAGCTTAGAACTAAACATTCTGCTATTTCCTCAACTGCATTGTATAATAATACATTATGGACATTCAAATATAAATGTATTTCTTAACAACTTAAAGATATTTTGAATTTACATATGTATGAAATTCTTGCCAACAAATGCACAGGGCAAAATCTAAAATACATGATTAACACACATATATGACATTTTTGTCAACAAAGTCACAGAAAAAATAGAAAGTGCATAATTAATACACATTTGCAGGACTTACCATGGGATTTTATAAGCCCTGAAGCATACATTTCTCTTAACTTCCTCTTCAAGTCTCTGCTGGTTTTCTTGTAGAAATATAAGTCCTTCTCCAACCGATGAATTCTGTAACAAGTATAATGAATCAATAAAAATTTTTAATTTACTAATTTCCCATGTTATCTTTTAAAAGAAAGTAGAAAATGTGGGAAGTAAAATTTTGTTGTACAATTTAAAGAAAGAATATAAGAAATGCCTTTGTTTTTAACTAAAGATAATTCTTGACTATTGGTTAATGAATAACTTTTCATTATAATACTAAGGGCATCAAATGAAACTTATCTCTGAAGCCCTTCCTCCCTCCCCTTTTTGTTAATCACAGTATATCTTTGCTTGGTAACTTACTTGGTCTCAGTGGTTTCCATCACTGGTTGGTCCTCTACTGCGGTGCTACTGGTGGTGATCTGTTGCATCAGTAGCTGCATCTTCTGTTCGTACTCCCTCTGTTGTTTTGTCAGGCGCCGGTCCACCTCCACCGCGGCCCGCTGGAGCGCCCCCTCCAACTCACGAATCAACTGCTCCTGCTCATCCAACTTCACCTACAAAAACACAGTGATTCAGCTCTCACCATCAGACTGTGTTATCACTACAATTCCACAGATTCTCCATAAATACATGTACAGCAAAACTCGTTTAGTACGAACACGGATATTGCGAATTTACGGTTATAGCGAAGTCATCTTGGATCCCCATCTATATAAATTTAATGAATTTCTAACACGGTTATAATGAATTACAGATATAGCGAAGTTATTTCTTTGGTCCCTGTGACTTCGTTATAACCGAGTTTTGCTGTAAATATTTAATTTTAAATAAATACACTTGACAGTCAATGAAAGCCACTCATAATATTGCAGAATAAATAAAAGATTTCTTACCTCCATTTCACTACACTGAACATCAGTCTTCCTCTCCTTTTCTCTCAAATTGACCACTTTTTCAAAGTACTTAGAAAGCAGTGTCTTGGTTTCTACAGCTGACAGTGCTTTTAGTCTAATCATGACAGAATCTTCACTCTGAAAAAAAAAACATTATGAAAAGATTATAAGACATACCTTAATGGTCAATTTCTTTTTTTTTAAATCCACCTTTTTACACAGTCATGTATGTGTAGTTCCTTTATGAGTGTGTCTGAGTGACAAATAAATGGCCTGTGTTTTACCTGAGAGAGCACCTGTGAGTGCCTTAGCTCCAGCTGTTTGCTGTTGATGTGGTCATTCTTATACTCAATAGCAGCATCCAGAGCTTCAATGGCTTCATCTAGCTCTATCAATCTGAAAAAAAAGAGAAATCAATGATTTAAAGGTGTGCATTAAATAATATGAAAAAATATTGAACATTGTTATCAGGAAAATCAAACTTTTCAAAAAAGTAACTGGTGTTTCAAGCTGTGACTAATGACAATTTTTCCCTCCCTTGGTATTTTATGGCCCTCCAAACTAGTCCCAACCTCTGTTATTACCTCCTCTCATCCTGGGGTGACATCAACCTCCCCTCCTTGAGTTTCTCCTCCAGGACCCCCCTCTTTCTCTGCAGTGTGTCTCTGTTCCCCTGTAACAAACCCAGCTCCTCCTTAATCCTTTGCTGGTCCTCTAACGGTGTGTGAGCTAGTTCCCTGCTCTTCTCATCTATCATCCTATCCACTGTATCCAACTTAGAGGACACAGTCAGAATGTTCTACATGAATAAATATTTTATGAGGTTTTTTTAATCAGTGAACATATCCCTGTACTGTTAATCATAAGTCATTTATGAACATTAAAACTTAAGGAAGGTATGTTTGTGATAGTGAACTCCACGTGAATACATGCATTAGAAGTTGTATATGACTAATACCTTATTCACCACTTGACTAGATCGTAACTTCTTCATTTCCAGCTCACTCTTCTCATTCAGTATAGCCTCCTTCTTGCTGACAATTTCTTCTCTTTTCCTGAGAATCTGTAACAGATAATTTATAAGCAGTGTAAGTCTGTGACCTTTGACCCCATTTTAACAAGTCTCTTGACTTGTGACCTTGACCTGACACTGACCTCTTCCAGTTCCTCCACCTGTCTCCTCTGTTCCACCACCTTCTCCACTTCGTTGTCCAGCCACCTCTTCTGTTCCTCTATCTTCTCCATGTCATCACTGTAACAAAATTTTACATACATGTACAAAACAAAAAATTACCCGGTACTTAAAACCTCCTGTTAGAAATTCCATAACCCGAATAGAATTCTGACATTGTACTGAAATTAGGAATCTGCATACCCCAGATATGAATACTCACCAAACCATAAAGTCAAAGTTCATGTTTTAATAATACTAAACATATGAAGAAATGTTTTGCAATTTTCCTCTTCATCCATAAATTTTTGTTGCAAATAAGACATTATAGCACAGATAAATGTTCAGTAGTCTTACATCTGTATGGGAGGTAATGTCCCGGTCTTTAGTTTACGCTGCGCGGCAGCTATCTCCTCGTTTTTCTTCTTCAGTAATTTCTCCTGATGCTCGTTCTTCTTCTGTAAATCTCTGACCTTCTGGGCTTCCTTCTGCATCTCTTTCTGAAAATCATCAAACAGAATACTGTGAAATCATCTGTGGGTCAATGTTCGTTGGTAAGCAAAATTTTGTTGGTTTGTGGGGACAAAATTTTGTGAATACTAATTTATACAGAATATTCAATAAATAAATATGTTGACAAAATATATTTTCGTGGGTATGTAAATTCATTAATAAAGGTGACCCACAAAATCCACTAACTTCAGTCCCCAAACAAACATTGATGATTCCACAGCACATGTCAGGCATTATATAAAAGATCTTATAAGAATCTCTTTATAGACTCCATATCTCACCTCCAGTTTGCCCTTCTTCTCTGATTCGTCCTTGAGTCGTTTCTGTAACTGATCCTGTTGCTGTCTCATCCTGTCCACCTGCATCTCCAGATCAGAAATCCTACAACAACAAACACCAACATTGTACTAACCACTACGAATCTGTCTGAATTAAATTCCCCTCCCCAGAAATACAAGTACATATATGTCACTATATCTTAAAATTGAATGGTAAAATCCTGAGGCTTTACTTTTTGCTATTTTGTGCTGAGAAATTGGCAATTTTCTCTGTTTCTTTTTGTTTCCTTTGAATGGCAGACATTTTTGCCTTTGAAAGCTCCAACTTTTTCTTGTATTCTCTGAAAAAATTTAAAGAAGAAAATGAAAATGTTCTCAAGTCAACTAAAGTACTAGTTTCTGCTGATTGTAAAATGTCAAGGGGCATATGTGAACTCAGTTTACTGGGTAAAAAACAAGAGGCCCAGGGGCCACATCGCTCACCTGAGTAACTTGGGTGATGCAGTTCTTTACCAGATTTCCCCTCTTGCTTTACCTATCGTACTCCACTACCCTCTTCCCTTTTATGAGTTTAATACTTTAGAATCTACACTACCCCAGGATGCTTCGACATAAGTTTCAGCTTTCCTGGCTCAGTGGTTCTTGAGATGAAGATTCTAAAAAGATTTTTTCCTAAATACAGTGTATATCTATGTAAAACTTGGATTCCCTATTGTGGCCCCGCCCTACCCCTGGGGGTTCATGATTTTAATAATTTAATATCTGCACTATCCAAGGATGCTTCCACATAAGTTTCAGCTTTCCTGGCACAGCGGTTCATTGGAAGAAGATTTTTAAAGATTTGTTTTATATATTTCTATGTAAAACTTGGATTCCCTATTGTGGCCCTGTCCAAACCCTGGGGGTCATGATTTTAACAATTTAATATCTACACTATCCAAGGATGCTTCCATATAAGTTTCAGCTTTCCTGGCTCAGTGGTTCTTGAGAAGAAGATTTTTAAAGATTTGTTCCATATATTTCTATGTAAAACTTGGATTCCCATTTGTGGCCCCGCCCTACCCCCGGGGGTCATGATATTAACAATTTAATATCTACACTATCCAAGGATGCTTCAATATAAGTTTCAGCTTTCCTGGCACAGTGGTTCTTGAGAAGAAGATTTTTAAAGATTTGTTCTATATATTTCTATGTAAAACTTGGATTCCCTATTGTGGCCCCGCCCTATCCCTGGGGGTCATGATTTTAACAATTTAATATTTACACTATCCAAGGATGCTTCCACATAAGTTTCAGCTTTCCTGGCACAGTGGTTCATTAGAAGAAGATTTTTAAAGATTTGTTCTATATATTTCTATGTAAAACTTGGATTCCCTATTGTGGCCCCGCCCTACCCCCGGGGGTTCATGATTTTAATAATTTAATATCTATACTATCCAAGGATGCTTCCACATAAGTTTCAGCTTTCCTGGCTCAGTGGTTCTTGAGAAGAAGATTTTTAAAGATTTGTTCCATATATTTCTATGTAAAACTTGGATTCCCTATTGTGGCCCCGCCCTATCCCTGGGGGTTCATGATTTTAACAATTTAATACCTACACTATCCAAGGATGCTTCCACATAAGTTTCAGCTTTCCTGGCACAGTGGTTCTTGAGAAGAAGATTTTTAAAGATTTGTTTTATATATTTCTATGTAAAACTTGGATTCCCTATTGTGGCCCCGTCCTACCCCCGGGGGTCATGATTTTAACAATTTAATATCTACACTACCAAGGGATGCTTCCATATAAGTTTCAGCTTTCCTGGTCCAGTGGTTCTTGAGAAGAAGATTTTTTAATGACCCCACCCTATTTTTGTCTTTTCTTGATTATCTCCCCTTGCAAGGGGACTTGGCCCTTCATTTTCACAATTTAAACTCCCCTTCACCCAAGGATGCTTTGTACCAAGTTTGGTTAAAATTGGCCCATTGGTTCTTGAGAAGAAGTCGAAATGTGAAAAGTTTACAGACGGACAGACAGATCGACGGACGGACGGACGGACGACGGACAAAATGTGATCAGAAAAGCTCACTTGAGCCTTCGGCTCAGGTGAGCTAAAAAAACTTGTCAATGACATCAGCTGATATGATTTACACAGAAACATCATAGTTTACACAGAACTCTAAACTTAATGGTTACCCCCCCCCCCCAACTCAACCCCCACCCCACCCCTCCCCTCTGACTTACTGCTGTAGTCTCTGTTTTTCCACTTTTTCCTGATGTTTATTTGTCTCTAACTCTGTCAGAACTTTCTGAGTTTCCTCCAAATCTGACTTTGTCTTCTCTTTCTCCTGAAATGGAAACCTAATGTCAAAACCTCAATAAGAAGGTTCATGCAAACATTCCAGATAATATCCTTAACCAAGAAACAGTCCTCAATCTTATACTTTTATTCCCTTTTCACTCATCGGAGTGCTAGCTCTTAAGGATGTTAAGTATTTTGTTGAAATTGAAAGAGTTATCTCCCCCAGTGTATTGTACATCTTTAACTTACTATATTAGGTTTTCTATACACTGACATGGCTGCTTACCTTTTCCAGGTGTTTAATCTTCTCAGCATACTGTTTATTGAGGACTTCAGCATCTTTTCCTGTTTTAACAAGTTCCTTTATAAGCTGTTCCTTCATTCTGAAAAGAAAGATTCAGATTGTTATCATTTTATCTCAACATTAATTTAGAATAGGCAGTTCCAGAATTTTTAGGGATCTGCATACAGACATTTTAAGCCATCAGTGAAGTAAGGAAGTTAGGTCTCATGTTGTTTTTAAGTTTAGGCAAAGTGATGACTGACCCAATGTTTATTCTAAGTTACAGTGTATCAGTGATCTAATGAAAGTTTGAGTTCCAGGGCCATAAAACTAAGACACGCTCAGTTTTGATTTCAGTCTCAATTTAAGATTGGAATTTATAGAGGAAAAGTGAGAATGAGATAAAGAAGAGCACATTTTCTTTAGGCCCTCGGGGTCTAATGTTTGATTCTCACTGATGCGTTGATTGACCCTACATTTATTTTAAGTAAGCGTTGACAGACCTAATTTGATTTTAATTACTAGTGAAGCGATGACTGACCTGATGTTTATGTTATCAGTGAGGACTGACCTGATGTTTATGTTATCAGTGAGGACTGACCTGATGTTTATGTTATCAGTGAGGACTGACCTGATGTTTATGTTATCAGTGAGGACTGACCTGATGTTATCAGTGAGGACTGACCTGATGTTTATGTTATCAGTGATGACTGACATGATGTTTATGTTATCAGTGATGACTGACTTGATGTTTATGTTATCAGTGAGGACTGACTTGATGTTTATGTTATCAGTGATGACTGACTTGATGTTTATGTTATCAGTGAGGACTGACCTGATGTTTATGTTATCAGTGATGACTGACATGATGTTTATGTTATCAGTGATGACTGACTTGATGTTTATGTTATCAGTGAGGACTGACTTGATGTTTATGTTATCAGTGAGGAGGAAGGGGTGGGGGTGATTATTTTTAAAATTGCCTAAAAATGACATGATGTTTATGTTATCAGTGATGACTGACATGATGTTTATGTTATCAGTGATGACTGACATGATGTTTATGTTATCAGTGATGACTGACTTGATGTTTATGTTATCAGTGAGGACTGACTTGATGTTTATGTTATCAGTGATGACTGACATGATGTTTATGTTATCAGTGATGACTGACATGATGTTTATGTTATCAGTGATGACTGACATGATGTTTATGTTATCAGTGATGACTGACTTGATGTTTATGTTATCAGTGAGGACTGACTTGATGTTTATGTTATCAGTGATGACTGACATGATGTTTATGTTATCAGTGATGACTGACATGATGTTTATGTTATCAGTGAGGACCGACCTTATGTTTATGTTATCAGTGAGGACTGACCTGATGTTTATGTTATCAGTGAGGACTGACCTGATGTTTATGGAGAGGTCCCTCATCTTCTGATGGTCCTCAGACATCTTGATCTGTGTCTCCTTGATCTTCCTCTGTGTGTTGATGCTCTTCCTGAGGCGATCCTCCACGGTCTCATACACAGAGTCCCCAGCCGAGGAGGACACACTCCCCCGGAAAGCTGTTCATATATTACAGAATACTGATATACATGTACTAAAAGAAGTATTTGAAATCCTTGTCTCCATTATAGAATACCAAGTCTTGTAACCCACAAATTATATGTATAAAATGTTCCAATCAAATAATGAATCAGATGTACACCAATTTCAGGAGACCTCTGAACTTTAAGTAATAGTGACCTTACCTGGCTTACTGATTCGGATGGCTGGGACGTTCATCTGATCTGCATTATTTTCTTTATTGTCCTCGGTGTTGCCTGCACCTTTCTTTACTTTGTATGTTCCTTTCCTTTTAAATTTGCTTCCATTCCCACTAAAAAAGTCATAGTAGTTACACAAATGTACAAAAATCATCAAATTACTAGTATATATGCATAATTTATATGAAAAATACATAACAAGTAAGTGAGAAAGGGAAAATCTTCAAAAATAAGAAATATAAAATCTTCAAAAATAAAACATATGAAATATAGAATCATTTGACCCTAGCATGTTGACTTACTGAGAAAACTGCCTTGAGTTTCCTTATAAATTGCTCACTTATTTTTCAAAAAAGTTTGTAAGAGAGCAGTTGAGACTTGCAGAGACACTATACTTACAGACTGCTACCAATGACATTAGTCTCCTCCTCCTCAAATGTCTGATGCATGACCTCGTCACTGTCCTCCAGACGACTGACCAGTAACTGACTCCGAGCCCGGAAACTCTTCATCACTCGCTCCAGCGTGAACAACGCCGGGCTCGTCTTGATGTTTCTAGATGGTGGCCTCAGTCCAGGATATGCCTGTAATTTTGACTAGACTTCAATCAAATAGCTCTCACAAACATGTAGCAAAGCTTTGCTATCTTGACATGTTTGAATATCTTATGAGTACCTTGTTTTCATTTTTTCAATCACTTCAAGAAACACTTGTCTGCAATACTTAAAACAAATGACAATGAAGATTCTAAAATTCTTACGTCTGGTCTCCTTGACAACTGGACAGGTACAGACTTTGGTCGCTGACCGCCGGTCATTCCGGCCGGAGCACTGGACGCCACAGCCTCCTCATCCAGGATACTGCTCTCACTGAATAGCTCATCCTGTTAATCAAACATACAGCAAAACATGTACACAATATGCTGGGAAAAAATTCATCCTGTAAAGACCAACATACAGTAACATACAATATACTGGAAAACATCTCTAATTGTCTCCATTGGGACCCCACAAGGAAATGAAGTAGTCAAGACTAGGATTAATAATTGAGAAGAAATTAAACTAACAAAGGTTACAAGGTTCACTTAATGAATATAATTTATGAGCATAACATAAACTAAAACAAATGAATGATTACTATTTAAAAACACATCTTAAGTTTAAATTCTTAATATTGGTGTTTCCATGAAAGATTGGTCCAGATCTACCATATGTATATCTAGGAATAATGAGTTGTCCACTCCTTGAATAGAATTTTCTTCCTACAATGCAAATAAATATTTGCTCCATGACCGTAACCTGTCATGGTCACCTTGACATTCCCCTTAATGAAAATAAAGTCTCATATTAATATTAATAAGCTTAACCATCCCTTTATAAATACTATCAGATCTTTAAAAAATACAGAATAGCTGATATTATTAACAGATACAAAAAAAAAATCATTTGATTGACCCTTTTCAATAACCATGACAAAGACACAAACATAATACCAATCTTCACTTGTAGGATACAACTATTACAAAATCAATATGTAAAACACCAAAGTCACATGGTCAATACTGATGCAAATAGATATTTTATTTACTGGACCAGGTACACTTATGAACTGTATTTTTTATATTTTCAATCATACCATGTAATTAACTGTCAGTGAACCATACTACCATATTTTTAAAGTATAAATGTTAAATCATGAATAAAGTTACTTTAGTTTTCAAACAAATGTTGTAAATGCCATTGAAATATTAGCAAATCAAAATTTAGCAATCCATACCAGTGACATTCTGTGAAAATTAAAACAAAAAACTCAACCTGGTGCCATATACCCGGTATATCATAAACACAATACCAGATATTTTTAATACTGTCTGATGAAAATTAGACTAGTCTTCAGATAACCATAAAGAATTTTGAGGCCATATATTTGTGTGCTTCATTAATATGCATAAAATCATTTTGCAAATATACCTTTCACGTACTTCATTAAAATAGAGCAAAAGTATATACATGTATAGGATATTTTATATTATACAAATTAATTTAATACAAAAGATGTGATTGAAGATAAATTCATTAATTGCCTATTTGAACAGAAAATTTACAAATCAATAAAGTGTTATTGAACCTGGCCAATATCTTTGGGTGATCAAACAATGAGACTTCCAAAGATCATTTATGGTCCATGTAAACTAGATTTGTAAAACTAGTCTAACTAAATCAGACAGTCATTTCATCAACTTGCACCTAACCCCATAATACAAAGATGAATGTAGAGATATTTTTAAAAATTTATTTCTGCCGCTAAATTTGACTACTGAGTTGATTTTGAGAAAGAACTTTTTGGAATATGTAAATGTACTGTAAGTTTGATACAGATTAAGCAAAGATCTAAAGCTCTAAATTCTAGCAGTCCTAACATTGTAACCTAGCATGTATCTTATCTAACTGATTACAAGTCAGCAGCGTAAAGTGATGAAAATCAAGATAAAGTAAATGTTACAAAAAATCTGTATAACTAGCAATGATTAAGTAAAGGCATGCTGTATTGTTGGAAAGCAATTGGAATCATCATTGTAATATTTTCTTCCAAAATAGCTGAAGAGAACTGATGATTAATGTCTGATGATAATGACTGATTTCCAACATGAACAACAAAGAAAAACATGATAAGAGTGCCCTGAACCTGTACCTGGTTTGTCAATATAACACTGTCATGTACATCATCCTAGAAAAACAGGGATTGATAAAATATTAAACAGACATCAATTAATCTCTCCCTCTGCTGAAAAAGCCTCCTAAATTCTTTACTGCCATATCAACTCCTTGTAACTTTCATCACAATTGTAAAAATAAATTCATGACATTTTATAAAGGAATCTACTAACATATGATCTGATTCTGAGTATGAAAGCAGAGGCACACAAACACTATGGCTACAGGAGTAACCTCCCTTAGAGAGTTACCTCACCTTCAGAGCTTTGTGTAGTTCCTCTATCTTCATCTGCTGTTCTATCATCTGTTGTTCCTGTTTCCTGATCTGGATCTCAGCCTCAGACAATTTCTTATTGGTTTCCTCCAGCAAATTACCCTGAAAACAAAAACCAACGGAAGTCAACTAAGTTAAGTCCGATTTTAAGGTACAAAAATAAAAGCAAACCTATTCTGGTAGACACTCTGTCAAATATCTTTTATATTTTGCCCTCATGTTTGAATTGCTTCTGTACACTGTTCTTTTTAATGTCTGTCATTTTCAATTCAAGTAACAATGTTACATAATAATTATTCAACATGCACTGTACATAGTATAAAGGCATTCTCTGCAGAAGATGAGCATTTGTACATTTAATCTCTAAGAAGATGATTTGAACACTACATGTAAATATACATATAAGGAACAAAATTTAAAAAAGAAATTTTGAACTGCAATATATCCTCGTTATAAAGCATATAACTTTTACAGGTTGCCATACCATAAAACTAAAATATTAGATTAGCAATCACATCATAATATATGATTTTGAGTTAAAATGCTGTTAAAACCATACATACCAGTTCCTCGTTTCTGTCAATCAGTCCATTAAAATCCTTATTTTTCTCAGCAAAGATTTCCTCATCACTTTTGAGATCTTCCCTGCACTACAATAAAGAGTTATCAAGATCTACACTACATTCTTTCACAATGGCTGTTCTTACTGGTTCCCAGAATTCCAGATGTATATGTTATATAAATATAAAGAGTTACTGCTGGTTAAAGTCATGCCAAAGAAAATGATAGTCAATGTAACAATCTATTACATGCTCATAGGACTCAAAATTAAAATTATTACAATTAGTAGCATTAAACAGCCATTGTCTGTGTATTAGAAGTAAGCCAGGTGCATCAATTTATCACCAGAGATAACATTTTAGACAATCATTTTTTGTAACACCAACCAGTTCTTTATTTACTACATTCTTACAATATAATAAATACAGAGGTTATTTTCAGATTATACTCAAATAAAACTTCTCTCTGGCAATAAATTTCCCTTATTAGAAAACACTGCAGATTTGCAAACACATAAATGAGTCTCATTAGATAATCCATATTTAGACACTCTGTGAATCTGTTATACTGTTTATTAGATTTAGAGTTGTACTACCTTCTTGAGTTGGGATTGCAGATCTCGAATTGTCTGGTTTTCTAATTCCTCTTTAGTAAGAGTAGCAGGAACCTTATTTTTGATCTGGAATAAAATTTGGAGCATGTATCACTTGTTTAACTCCAACAATTTCTTTCATTAATTCTCAACAAAAGATGCCCTTCAACATATCAAAAAAGTAATTGTGTGTGATCTCACTGTAATATGTAATCAGGAGCCTGTAATATCACTGTAATATGTAATCAAGAGCTAGTTATCTCACTGTAATATGTCATCAAGAGCTCGTAATCTTACTGTAATATGTAATCAAGAGCTCATAATCTTATTGTAATATGTAATCAGGAGTCTGTAATCTTACTGTAATATGTAATCAAGAGCTCATAATCTCACTGTAATAGTTTTGTTACGGTAATATGTAATTATGTGTTCACTACTGAGCCTCTGACCTCCTCCATCAGGTCCAGCCAGTCCTTTAGTCTGAAGTCCTGACTCTTAGACAGAATGTCTCGCTGCTGAATCTCTATCAGCTGTCTGTATGCCTCCTCCGCGATCATCTTGTAATGGGAACACTCAGTCTGTAATCTGTCAAAACAAAGACCAAACAGTCTATTACATTTCATTACAATCATCTTATAATGGGAACACTCGGTCTGTAATCTGTCAAAACAAAGACCAAACAGTCTATTACATTTCATTACAATCATCTTATAATGGGAACACTCGGTCTGTAATCTGTCAAAACAAAGACCAAACAGTCTATTACATTTCATTACAATCATCTTATAATGGGAACACTCGGTCTGTAATCTGTCAAAACAAAGACCAAACAGTCTGTTACATTTCATTACAATCATCTTATAATGGGAACACTCGGTCTGTAATCTGTCAAAACAAAGACCAAACAGTCTATTACATTTCATACATGTACAATCAAAGACCAATAACCATCTTTTACATACAATTACCTTCCCAAATCAATTAACTGTTCTTTTTGGAAAAATATTTAAAAATTATTGAAAGCAGAAAAAAAATACACACACTTATAATTTGGACAATCAATCCAGCAAATTATTTTTCATCACGAAATTCATGCAAAAAAAAAATTATAACGTTTAATGTTATTAAGAAAATAACAATTAACAGAGTGCAGTGTTAGATTGAGTTCGCACCTGATGACTTGTTGTTCTAACTTCTTCATCTCCTGTGCATCCTGCATGGCTTTCTCTGGATTATAGACATTGTCACCTCCCCCATTACTCAGCATAGACGTCCGCTGTCTTACCAACTCCTCCCGCAATGCCTAAAACCAAATAATTTACATGTACCTCGTAGTTAATTTAAACAGACTGTCTTAAAACTCGCACATCATTTTGTAAAACTTAAAGATTTAAAATGTAATCATTTATTCCTCAAAGTCAGACAGAGAATTTTGCCTGATTTGAATCAAGGTCAATCCAACTTATTTAATAATTTTGAATATTTGTACAGTTACCTTTATTTCACACTGCATTTCTTCAAATCTAATAGACTGCACATCTCTGTTCACTATAGGGGTATTTTTTATATTCTTGGCCTAATAAAATGACATAAATGTAAAAGTTTATGCATAACATGCTTTCAATTTATTAATGTTTTTCAATGATTTATATATAATATCATAATCTAACTTTCACTGTTTACTCTTCATCTATCTTCCTAAATCCATTCAAAAAGAACTTACCCTGTTGGCATACTTCAGAGCATTGTGAGATTCATCAAAATTGGCTGAGGAAGGACTTATACAGCAAATCATCAAAGTTTTGGCATTCCCTCCTAAAGAGTCCTTTAAGAAAACACAGGTCAACATTACATTAGAAACTGTTATGGCTTAAATGTCTCTAAAAATGCCAGTTCAGTGTATTGACTGACTACAGTACATGTGTATTAACCTGTTTGTAGTGTCGGAAGAATTACCTTTAGAAGTCGAGTGATTTTGGATTCTCTGTATGGGATGTGTGAGAGAATTACCTTTAGAAGTCGGGTAATTTTGGATTCTCTGTATGGGATGTGTGATAGAATTACCTTTAGAAGTCGGGTGATTTTGGATTCTCTGTATGGGATGTGTGATAGAATTACCTTTAGAAGTCGGGTAATTTTGGATTCTCTGTATGGGATGTGTGATAGAATTACCTTTAGAAGTCGGGTGATTTTGGATTCTCTGTATGGAATGTGTGATAGAATTACCTTTAGAAGTCGGGTGATTTTGGATTCTCTGTATGGGATGTGTGATAGAATTACCTTTAGAAGTCGAGTAATTTTGGATTCTCTGTATGGGATGTGTGATAGAATTACATTTAGAAGTCGGGTAATTTTGGATTCTCTGTATGGGATGTGTGATAGAATTACCTTTAGAAGTCGGGTAATTTTGGATTCTCTGTATGGGATGTGTGATAGAATTACCTTTAGAAGTCGGGTAATTTTGGATTCTCTTTATGGGATGTGTGATAGAATTACCTTTAGAAGTCGGGTAATTTTGGATTCTCTGTATGTGATGTGTGATAGAATTACCTTTAGAAGTCGGGTAATTTTGGATTCTCTGTATTGGATGTGTGATAGAATTACCTTTAGAAGTCGGGTAATTTTGGATTCTCTGTATTGGATGTGTGATAGAATTACCTTTAGAAGTCGAGTAATTTTGGATTCTCTGTATGGGATGTGTGATAGAATTACCTTTAGAAGTCGGGTAATTTTGGATTCTCTGTATTGGATGTGTGATAGAATTACCTTTAGAAGTCGAGTAATTTTGGATTCTCTGTATGGGATGTGTGATAGAATTACCTTTAGAAGTCGGGTAATTTTGGATTCTCTGTATTGGATGTGTGATAGAATTACCTTTAGAAGTCGGGTAATTTTGGATTCTCTGTATGGGATGTGTGATAGAATTACATTTAGAAGTCGGGTGATTTTGGATTCTCTGTATGGGATGTGTGATAGAATTACCTTTAGAAGTCGGGTGATTTTGGATTCTCTGTATGGGATGTGTGATAAATTACCTTTAGAAGTCGGGTGATTTTGGATTCTCTGTATGGGATGTGTGATAGAATTACCTTTAGAAGTCGGGTGATTTTGGATTCTCTGTATGGGATGTGTGATAGAATTACCTTTAGAAGTCGGGTGATTTTGGATTCTCTGTATGGGATGTGTGATAGAATTACCTTTAGAAGTCGGGTGATTTTGGATTCTCTGTATGGGATGTGTGATAAAATTACCTTTAGAAGTCGAGTGATTTTGGATTCTCTGTATGGGATGTGTGATAAAATTACCTTTAGAAGTCAAGTAATTTTGGATACTCTGTATGGGATGTGTGATAGAATTACCTTTAGAAGTCGGGTAATTTTGGATTCTCTGTATGGGATGTGTGATAGAATTACCTTTAGAAGTCGGGTAATTTTGGATTCTCTGTATGGGATGTGTGATAGAATTACCTTTAGAAGTCGGGTGATTTTGGATTCTCTGTATGGGATGTGTGATAAAATTACCTTTAGAAGTCGGGTGATTTTGGATTCTCTGTATGGGATGTGTGATAAAATTACCTTTAGAAGTCGAGTAATTTTGGATTCTCTGTATGGGATGTGTGATAGAATTACCTTTAGAAGTCGGGTAATTTTGGATTCTCTGTATGGGATGTGTGATAGAATTACCTTTAGAAGTCGGGTAATTTTGGATTCTCTATAAGGAATGTGAGTTGATCTCTTTTTCGGATCACCCAAAGAGCTGATGACATTACCAAGGGCCAGCAGTCCAGAGTTTATATGTACTGACTCTGTAATTCAGAACTTCACAATATCATATTGATACATTTTACTAACCAAATTATTGTTCAAGCTAGTACCTGTTTACATACAAACTAAAAAATAAGTTGTCTTGTGAATTAACAATATAATCTTTAAAAAGAATGTCTATAATATGTAGAGATTTACACCATTATTAATCATCTACTCATATAAAACTTCTTTCATTTGCTTCCTGTTTCTTAAATCTTGCTTAGATTCAACCATAAATATATAATACTTTAAGAATTTATGTGTTGTTTAGAATCAACATCAGAACTGACCTTTGAACCTGTCTCCCACATTTCCTGTTCTATGAGCCCTCTCTGATCCAGCAAGGTCAACAAAATGAAACTTCCCAAACATAGTGTGGGTGATATCTGAAAAATTACAGTAAAAGAAATGACTGGGATGTTAAAGAACTAAATTCATTCTCCTTAAATGATAATAACTAAGTTAAAATTATTATTATGTCATAATGACTGAAACAATGAAGAAAAATACAGAGAAATAGGAATTATATTCCAGTTGCTGTCAACAACGTATGCTCTTTTTTCAAATAAGACAAAAATATACAAGTGTTACAAATTACCATGTAACCAATCTTTTGAAAATTGATGTCAGTAAATAGAGAAGACTGCACTAAGTCAACCAACCATAATATTATTTAATTACTAAATTATAGTAATGATCCCCTTACCAGCAAAAAAAAAATCCATTTATTAAGCATATTCCTCATTATCATTAATAGTTTGGAATATAAAATTAGTTTAATTTGTAACATAGAATGCTACATGAACCCTTTGACAAATGGAACACTGTTCTACAGGCAAACCTTTAAGCTGCAGCAGTGAGTAAAGAAAAAAAAAACATGTACTAATGTGAAGAAAAAGCACAGATTACTATAAATGGACCACACAAGACAATTTCTACATGTAATTCAAGCCACTCTTTCATAAGTGTTACAAGCTTTGAAAAAAAGACAGACTTGAAATCACTTGAAAATTGTATAAAACAAACCTTTAGATGATGACGTTCCTAAAATCAAAGCATTATAAGAGCTTTCAATGACTAATTTCTTTTGTGAGTTTGCTGCTCATTATCTACTTATGAATTTCATTTGTCTTAGTTGACAATGATTCAAAATTTTTAAAATCAAAGGAAAAACCCTAAAAGTGATTTGGTGTCCAAGTGGAAATTTTGCATAAAGTGCTTGCATAAATGTAGCATAAAACACAACAAATCATCTCCCCCCTCCCTTGCCCCTTTCCCAATAAATGTAGAAACACTTTACACACTGTAAACCCACACTACAGCTTAGCAATACAGTCACACACAGTGATCAACCTATCAGAATGCATCCTCACTCTTAGTCACAGTGTAAGCTGAAAACATCAACAGTGCCCAAAACCATCACATGCAATACAGAGAAAAATACACACCTTCATCCAGTGACTCAGTGCTTTCACTTTGTTTTCTTTTCTCTGCCATGACATCATTTTCTATCCATTTCTGACCTATATAATCAAATTTTACTTTACTAATACTTTTGCATAAATAATATATCTGGTAAAACATGATATCTGTTCTCTGAAAAAAAAAAATCCTTGAATTTTTACTTTCTTTTCATACATGTAAAATTGTTGTAGAAAAAACTTAGCTCTTGTGTCATTTGAATACATGTAAATGATAAAATTTTATTGAAATCACAGAGTTTTAATTTCTAAATAAATGCCATAAATTGGAAGTCCTGTCCACTGACCTATGTTGACAGTGAATACAGAATGTGAACGACTCGAGTGTTCATTCATCTGAGTTGACCCTGTGGTTCGGACCGCTGACCCAGACTCGAGCAGACTCATGACATCATCAAGTGTCTCACATTCCACCTCCCGGGCCCCTATTATCACTGAAACAAAAAGCATTAAATCAGGGTGATTTGTCTGAAACTCGTTCTTAAATAAAGAATACAGGTGACTCTCGATGGCTAGATTGTTTGTTCTGCCTCTCGGTGAACCTCTGAATACTATTTTTCCTCTATATAACCAAGCAAATTTACTCCTGATCTCTCATGATCTCTCGTCAATATTCTACAATTCTTATGCAAAACCTAGGTATTACACATATTTCATTGAATTTTACTCTCTATCTCTCGAAGTTTTGATTGCGCGTGTATAAACGGCGATCAAGCGTAAAATTGAGTCTGGACTTACCTGGAAAAACACTGGCATGGAGGTGTTAATTGGGTGTTTACATAGATGACACTACACCTGTGGGTCGTCCGTGTGTTGATATAATTAACTGGTTATTATTGGTAAATTATAAACGAATTCATAACTTATTTTGGGGATTTGAAACAGAGACGATAATTTTTAGAAAATAAATTTATAGACGTTCGTATAAATAAGTTCCCATAGACTATGAACTTTAATTAGAGTCTACATAATCCCAGTATGGCAATTATTGCACATGAAATTCCTTTCTCAAGGACTGAATACCGATTTTAAAAAAATCTGGTGAACACTTTGAAGGACCCTCCCTGAGGAATAGAAACCGATAATTGCTATCCGGGTTTCATGTTATCGTGAAATAAGAACAAATAGATATTGAAACTTCAGGAATTTGTTGTATTTATTCTACATACAAAGAAAATATTCTACATACAATCATTGTTGTTGATATCAAGTATATTACCTGTAAACGTGCAATAACTTTATTTACATATACTTCCGGTATTTATAATAGTAGAACATCGATGAGCGGAACTGAAAATTCCAGATTTTATTTACGTTCTATCTCTCGAACCCCTCGATCTCTCGAACTTTTCTTGCGGTCCCTTGAACTTCGAGAGATCGCATTGATATGTATCACTTTTTACTGTTGTCCTATAAAAGTTTTTTTAATGACTTAAAGCAAAACTAGATATAGTGACATCCCTGCTGTATAGTAAGCTTTGACTTATCATGTTATACTGGTAATGATTTCCCTATTGTTTAATTCTGACTAACCATTAATGCCTTTATCATCCTCCCTGAGATGGAGATTACTGACTGGTGTCTCTATGTCTATTACCCCTGACTTACCAGTATTGCCTTTATCATCCTCCCTGAGATGGAGATTATTGGCTGGTGTCTCTATGTCTATTACCCCTGACTTACCAGTATTGCCTTTATCATCCTCCCTGAGATGGAGATTATTGGCTGGTGTCTCTATGTCTATTACCCCTGACTTACCAGTATTGCCTTTATCATCCTCCCTGAGATGGAGATTATTGGCTGGTGTCTCTATGTCTATTACCCCTGACTTACCAGTATTGCCTTTATCATCCTCCCTGAGATGGAGATTATTGGCTGGTGTTTCTATGTCTATTACCCCTGACTTACCAGTATTGCCTTTATCATCCTCCCTGAGATGGAGATTATTGGCTGGTGTTTCTATGTCTATTACCCCTGACTTACCAGTATTGCCTTTATCATCCTCCCTGAGATGGAGATTATTGGCTGGTGTTTCTATGTCTATTACCCCTGACTTACCAGTATTGCCTTTATCATCCTCCCTGAGATGGAGATTATTGGCTGGTGTTTCTATGTCTATTACCCCTGACTTACCAGTATTGCCTTTATCATCCTCCCTGAGATGGAGATTATTGGCTGGTGTCTCTATGTCTATTACCCCTGACTTACCAGTATTGCCTTTATCATCCTCCCTGAGATGGAGATTATTGGCTGGTGTCTCTATGTCTATTACCCCTGACTTACCAGTATTGCCTTTATCATCCTCCCTGAGATGGAGATTATTGGCTGGTGTCTCTATGTCCAATAGATCTTGAAGCTCCTCTTTATAAATCTCAATATAAGACACCTTCACAGAGTATTCCACCTCTTTATTAGCCTAAAGACAGAAACAAATTCTAGTTATCAAAAATAACATGAAGAAAAAGAAACATGAATCATAAAAAACTTGTAAAATAAAAAAATATCAACAAATTCATTACAATTTCAAAATTTTAACTACATGAAAACAATATTAGAAAAGGCTCTGACCTGCATGTAATCAAACATATCTTTGAGGGCCCTGGGGATAATGCCGTATTCCTCCTCTGTTAGAGCGTTCATGTTCCCCCCTCCCACCGTGTAAGTCTTACCAGAACCCTGAAATAAACAATTTCCTATCAATAAATTGATCTTCCATGTTAAAGTATTATTTTTTTAAATCACTAATCATAAGTATTATTTTCAAAGCAAGGCACTGCATAATAAAGCCCCATCTCTATCTGTCTAACATCTTATTCATAAATTTTGATAAAATAAAATTCATTCAAATTAAATGACTTTTTATTTTCTCAGTACATCACATTCGAATCAGAAGGATTTCTGTTATCTATATACTGATAAGAATAATGATAATTTCTTACTGTTTGGCCATAGGCAAATACAGTAGCATTGTATCCTTCAAAGATACTCCTCACTAAAGACTCTACACATGACTTGTATACTTCTTCCTAAAAAAATAATACCATTCTAGTTAAGTACCAGGTATCTATATATCAGTAAAAATACAAATTTTATGCACGTTTACTTAAAAGTATTGTAGTAGAAAAATGTGTAGATATTTTAAGTTTATAATTAATATACAAATTCCAAAGTAAACTCTATTCTGCTAGACTACTGTAAACCAACTTTTATTTGTAAACCAACTTTTAAATATTCAACAATTAATTTTCGTGATCAAGCCTTTTTGAATCTGTTTTTAATAAACACAGAGACTTTAAGGACCAGTTCGCACTGAGAAATATTCGTGATGAGGATACTCTCGCGAACTTTGCAAAAATTTCTCGCACGCAAATAAAAGTTGGTTTACAGTATATAATACATGATTATTTTTGCCCTTCACACTTGCATACAATTTTCCTACATATTAAACTTGGCCAAAAGCAGATATACTTGTGTTTAGGAGATGTTGTCTTTCTATAATTATCCTGTTTGAAAATTAAGCTCTTGCAATGTGGGTGACACAGAGACTAGTTTTTCAAATCTGGAAACATTTTTTTATTTACTGTTTTACGGGAATTTTTTTTAAAAAAATGAGTCGAGGGGTCGAAATAAAAATAAAAATAAAATCTTCAAATTCAGGAAAATAAAAATAAAACAAAAAAATGTAACAATTTTTTTATTTTTTAAATTACGAATGGAATTGTTTTATTACCTTAATTTGGCAGAAAAGGGTGTTATTTGAAAAAATTAATGCATGCAAAACAATTTTATCATATATTTTTTTGGGGTATTCAATAAATAATAAGATTTGAGGATTTATGAGTAGCTATCATATGGCAAGAATATAGTGAGGCTTTAAATGGACCATTTAAATTATTTCACAAGAGAGACTAATAAAAGAAAATCTGTGTATCTTTTTCAATGCAATTCAAATTAATATACACATAGGTAGATAAAACATATCTTATCTTTCTCTTGAAAATTGCCTCAATGCACAACTTTTGACATACATGATTTTCCCATAAGTATTATACTATATACATGTAAACTAGGCAATGACAATTACTCTGGCCTTGTTCTAAAAGCCATGTCATATTTGTATGGACGTATCATCTGCAGCTTTGTTTTTCCCTATTGGTAATTTTTTTATTTCACAAAGAAAGTTGTTATTACCACGCTGATGTACATTAATGTTACATAACAAGCAAAATTCCATTTTGAATCGTAATATGTGTGATTAATATGATATTAACGAGTGAAAGTTGTGACTTGAATTTCCTCAGTCACGCTACTTTCTACAGTGTTCTGTTCAGTCGTTACATGTAAAACAAAACAAATAAGTTTCAGAACAATCGTCATGCCGTATTTCAATGCTTTGAAACAATTGTCAAAGATAATACATACTTAAATCGTCTCAAAACAAGGGGTTGACAGAACCTCAATTCGTCAACTGTGATTGGATGGATATATTTACCTTAGCCAAAGACAATTCACGTTTTGAAAGGCTGTTTTTGTTATTTCTTTTATTTTTTCAGTTATAATGAGCATCGAAGGGAGAAACAAAAAATAAAACTTGATTTTATTTTTATTATATGTCAGCGCTCCTGTAAAACAGCATATAAAAAAATGATGGCCACATTTGTTATACATATATAATTATATGTTAAACTTGCACTACATATTATTACCTGTGAGACTTTTGGTGAGTGGACGTAGTCAAATGTAAATCCTCTGTCCTTCCCCAGTATGAGCTGGTTACTGGAGGGCACGACCCGCATACACATTTCTTCTCCCGATACCCTCTCCTTCGGTAGAAGTGGCCTCACCTATAGTTAATATTAAATCATCTTCAAGAAGGCAAATCAACTGTAACTTAAACAGATTCTTTAAATCTTATCTATAGCTAATTTCTTTAGTTATTTTTAAATGTTTATAATACAATGTAATAAACAGTTATTTAAAATGTTCAGAAATTGCTCACCCTTACTGCCACTCTGACATTCACTTCCTGTTGTGTTGTCATTTTTGATTCCATTTTTCCTTGTCTAAATTCTTTTTAGATGATATGTCTTCATTACGTTCATTGTAGTTTCTGGAAACATAAACAATTTCTAAATATTTACAAGGTTAAAATATTATAAACAGTAGTTATTACTTTGTTTATAATGTCTAGGACTTAACCACACTATAATTCCTTTGAAGACCTCCAATCTCGAAATGTGTTTTAGTATGTTGTAGCTGATGACACTAAGTCTTACACCAGTTCATTGTTTTACAATGCTTCCAATTCTGTAGCCAAAGAGCAAGAATTGTAGGGATATCACAGTTCCTATACTTTTAAGGTCAGTGAGCAATGGTACGTCAGTTCAGAAAATTTTTCGGTTCGGTTTCAGGTTTTTCAGTTCAGTTCCTCATAAATTTTTATCTATTTCAAGCTGCGCTTGACCTAACCATTTCACTGTCAGACATTTTGTGTTATTATGATAGAAGTTGGGAGAAGAACTCATTTACAATGGAATTATTTTTTGGGGAAAAATCTTTTTTAAAAATTCTCATTTCACACTTTCAGTGGGAAGTCATTCTTTCAGTAGAATTGCCAACACTACATTTCCAAATTATACTCAGTGATGTGTCATTAAATAACGGTTTCTCTTCAACTCATACAAAAATCATGAGCTGGCATTTGAATTGATAAATTTAAACCAATTCGTTATGATGTCCAGGCATGTCAGAATCCATACAACAATTTACACCAGAGTTACACACCTGTATAAAATGTAACTGCAAATCTAAAACTCTCAATAAAATGCTACAGACCTTAAATTGTGCTCAAAATGGCACATTTATCACTGTTAATGCATACTTTTCCTACGTTTCGATGTAAACAACAGAGAATCTGCAAGAATTTGTTGCGCATGCTTATTTGATATTTCCGGTACGAAACAATAATGATATATTTTATTTAAAGAAAAATACGTCGTTTGACGTAAATAAAGAAAGCAATAAATCAAGAAATATTTCTGATCATGATATTTTGAGACACTTTGAATTATATTTAAATGCGAAACAGATGGAAATTTAAAAATTTGTCTCCATCAACTGTGCGTTTTAGACAGAAAACAAACTTCGATCCCAATGTTAAAGGGCAATTACAAATGAAATCAACACACTTAGGGGCGATCACGTAATTATCCGAAAAAAAATTGCTTTGAAAAGGGTTTTTCAAAACTACATGTAATACGAAATAATTTTCTCATTTGATTATTAAAGAAATATCAAATTCGGCCATTAATCATAAAAATTTAGATCTAAGAATTTCTATAAACGATTGTATTTCGTCAAAACAATGGAGTTTTTAAACTTTGATTAAACAAATAAAATATGTTACAACAAATAATCAAATGCTATACATGTATAAAGCTTTTAAGGTATAATTACAAAATAACTGTTATTTATAATAGATTTAATATAACAAAGATGAGGAAAATGGTATAGAATATATTTATTTAGAAATAACAATAAACAGAAACTTACAAAACAGATTTTACAAAACGTTCTATTAGGAGAAGGCATCGAAGTTTTTAAACTTGTATCAAATCCTTTTGACTCTTTGCCGGTCAATAAAATATGACCGTTCAATTCAACAAAACAAACAATTGTATTGTTTAATGAACAGGGAGTTAGCTATCAACTTTGAAATAAAATAAAATGTAAATTACAAATAATAGCATGACAATATGTACAACGACTGTAATATGCCTATATTGTATGAGTACTATGTTCAGTTGCGGATCTAGGAATTTCGGAAAGGGGGGGGGCGCAGTAGAAGGCAGGGAGGTCCGAGGGAACTACACCGAAGCCCCAAGTTGGTCTAGGGCAAATCCCCAGTGAGAGTCCGGGGGCTTTGCTCCCGGGAGTCGACGTTTCTTACAATTAATATAAGATGTTTTTTCCTTGATTAATGGATAATGGACATATAAATTTTATATACAAAAATTTGAAACAGGAGGACGCGCACCGGCCCTGGATCCGCCTTTGTATTGTTGCTTTCTAATATTACATTTTGCATTTAATTTTTGGCATTATAAAACTGCAATAAGAGAATCTTCATTTGACATAATCCATGTAATAATTTCAACATTATTAAGGAAAAGCATTATTAAATTAGGAAAAAATTTAAAGATTATGTTAAAAAACTCTCCTCTAGAATCATTATAAAATGGACATTCTAGCAAAAAATGTAATTCAGTTGCAAACTTGGACGTGAAGTGAAGTATAACGACAGACTTTTTCACACCTAAGGAGAATTTCATTTTTACGATTTTACCACTTGCACATTTATTAAGTTTCCCGTCATATCTGCCGCCTTATGATTACAATTCTGAATTTTGTGAGAATACATCCGACTGTCCTGGTTTTTCATATATTCAAGTATTTTTTTTTTCAATATTGAATGAATTTTTATATTTAAACTATGTATTGAATTTACCAAATCTTTTCAATTAATTGGTATGGACATCTTTTCCAGAGTTAAAAAATATATCCATATATGATGGATACCTTCCCAGTTCGGAAAAGATTCCATCATTTGCACAAGTTTTAGATACTCCCATATATATAAGTCATAAAATGAGAGCTCGAGATGCCGATTCCCAAAGTGTAAAAATAAAAAAATTACCAATTCGCGGACGCTAAAGCTTATTATTATACTATAATATATGGATTAAAAATTTATTACGATGACAGAAACACCGTAGGCTGAAGTGCATGTGCGCGTGTGTTGCATGTGAGTGGGCCGGGGAGGATTTTTAAAAAAAACTTGAGATGGCATAAGTAACTAACTCAATCGACGTGTTCAAAAGTCTGTTACTGAGGATTTTTTTTTTAATTTTACATTTGGTGAAATGCAATTGAACAAGCCTAAATTAACAATTTTCCGAAGCATTTAGATTTACGTTAAATCAACACATATTTTTTATTTATATTTTCCTCATAGCAAACAGAGTAATTGTAAATAAATATCTTTAACCTTTCGAGATACTTACACACTCACTGAAGCACGCCATCCACTTGTACTTGTAAGGGAGATTAAAGATTGTTTAATTTATTTCTCACTGACTTCATTGGGCCACTCTAAATATATCGGGTTCGAGCTCAATAACATTTTAAGCGTCTTTGTTACACCGATCAACATTAATTTCTTTTAGAAAATCGTCGAAAAACGTCGAAAAATAATAATAACAATACCGATAGACATTGACGGTAGATAAAGGACTCAACTCTGTTTGTTAAACATCCTATTGTGAATTTGTTAAGGCACTGAAATGAATTACAGTTGGCTCTGATCGTTCGTGTCGCAATGGAAAGGACAGACAGTGCTAGTACTGGCATGGCATCTCTTGTCGAGATGTATGAAGAACATTCGGAAGAAGAAGAAGATAGTCCAGATGCTCCTTCTGCAGTGGACAATATTTCAGACGAAGATGAGGTCGATAGGGAATCGTCATCTCATAGTTCGAGGCCTCCATCCAGGCCAATATTTGAAGACGACAGTGCGGTATCATCGCCTCTTTCTCTTCCTGTTAAACCTGCCATGAAAAGAAAAAGTAGGTGTCACATTAAGTTGAGAGTGTAGGGAACCTTGGTTAACTAAATGGTATCGTGTTTCTGATTATTTGAAATAATGCTGAGCTCATTTCTAAAATGTCTAGTTAAACAGCTGTTAAACTGTTAAATGCAAAAAAGTAATGTAATTTTACAGTAAAACACGGTTATAGCAAACACGTTTACAATAAATTCATGCTTCAAGTTAAGTGATTTTCAATCCCCCGTGGTTTTTGAACATTTTATCATTTTACCGAATTTAAGGAATTACGTTTACAGCAAATCAAAATTTCCTATCCCTGTCACTTCCCTATAAGCTTGTTTTACTGTAGATCCCATGCTGGATATTATGTCACAAAAGAGCTATCATATACCAGTAGGGCAATAGGTCTCAGCCCTATAAGTGTTAAAAATATTTTTTTCTAAAACACCAAGGCCTTAATAGTCATATTCAATTTATAATCCCTATATTGTATGTAGTCTGAATTCAAATTTGGTTATAAAAGCGAAAAAACTTAATGAATACGCTGGTCATGAAGAACTGGTCTTTCTGCATGTAATTATTTACAAAATTTTGAACCTAACAACACGTTTCGGGACTTGGGTTAACACGTTTAAAACTTGGGTTTCTAACACGTTTCGGGACTTCTATATATTTTGTTAAGGAAATGAAATAAAACTTGTTTACTTTTGTTTGGCAATATGTTTATATATGTATAATTTCGCTGTTTTATACACAATTTATCATTTATTAAATCAAACTGTATTAGTTTGCATGCGGCATGGGGCACGCCGTGGCATGAGCATGTCAAAATTCTATGTACAAAACGCAATGTTGTCTTTACATTTCTTATTACAGCATTTGATATACAAATATATTACCTTTATAAAGTATTTGGTTCGCCAAAATTTAAGCCTTCAAAAATATATTTTAAATTAGGAATATGTATTGATTTATTTATAGTGTTTGATACGAGAGTTTGCAAACTGCAATATGTTTTGTTGTAATTGTTTTAAAAATAATTTAAACATATTCCTGTGGTTGTTTTACTTTTTCCCCAAGCTGCATGAATTGTTTCTCTCCATTTTAATAACAATTTTAAGTGTTTGATTTCATATTTGTTTACAGAATTAACAAAGGCTCAAGCTAGCACATGTGCAGTAAAAACTTTACGTTTTACGGGTAGATGTTATGTTTACTGTGTATACACAGACTACAAATTTCAATGAAAATATAATTAACACATCTTGCAAATATACCCACCAGTGCGTAATATTATGTGATGTTACATAATTAGGTACATGACACACTGTTTAAATGATACTGTAAATAAATACTAAATATTATTTAATTTGCAAATATTAAATTTTTCATTTTACATGTACGTTGTAAAAGTGTTTAAAAGACATCCTTTTAAAAAAAGAATGACTACGATGACAGGTCTCTAAATTTTATTTTTTATTAAATTTCCACCTAGCCACATTAAATAGATAAAGCTATGATGAAATTTTTTTGAATTTTTTTAAAGACATTATTTCAAACGATATCAAATGAAATCATGTTGTTTATACCATTTAAAGTTTCTTTTGCAGCAATTTCAAAAGTATGGTATTTTTTAAAAATCTACATTTTTGGGAAAATATTGGGTGTAGGTCTCATTTGTAAAATATGTTTATTTACAATGTTTTGGAAACTTTAAAAATGTTTTGCTGTAACATTTCCAGGGAGGAACAGGTTACAATAGATACTATGCTAAAACTTTTTGAAAAAAAAAATATTTGAAACTGTTTGGATGAAAAAAATAGAGAAAATCAATCAAAACATTTTGAAAACCTTTATATTTTATTGAACTTTTGATGATGGGAAAATTATTACTATTATATAAATATTGTTTGATTTGTAATTATTTCATTTACAAATAAACAAACAATATTTTTTTGCATATTTTTAGATTTTTATTTTCTTAAAATAATTTCAATAGAAACCACATAATCTTTTCAGTCCCCATTTGACCAAACTTGCATGTATATACATGTACGTAACACTTCCCTATGGGATATGTGTACCTGGTCCTAGTTGTTGTTTTAACAATTCACTGACATAATTTTAAAGATATATTCGACGGTAGCTAGAGATCACTTGAATATTCTAAAATATATATCATCAACCTGAAATATTACGTACTCTGTGTACTTAGAATAATATGCTATATCACCATAATAAAATAAATTGTTGGTGCAGGTTTCATCTCCGAAAAAATTTCTTTTTATTAAACTTGAGAAAACGTATCTATGGCGATTAAATTATAAAAAAAAATTATTTTATAAAGTTTAATGTCTGTCCATATATTTATCTAATGATACATTAATAAGATAAATAAATAATTTTAGCTAAATATGTTATTTATTTCAGTTTTTTGGAATCCCGAGGTTAAAATTTAACCCAAGTTTCATTTCTTAAACGTCTTGCCGCAAGTCCCAAACTTGTCTTATCGCTAGTGCACACTAATCGTTGTGTACCTGAATTCCAAATCTTTCAGATAATGTACCAGGTAAAATCTTGCACCCATTAAAGCCATGTTCTTTGTAAGATTAGAAGGGTGGCACAATAGAGCATCAAAAGTTTTTTTTTGTTTTGGAATATACCAGTAGAAGTTTTTATATAGCTATTCCAGAACAATCTTTTTAATAAATTTTGCAGATGACTCAGATGAGTGTTGTGTGACTTTGCCTTTTGACAACATTCATTGGGATTATAAAAAGTACTTTTCTATATTCTAGATTTATCAGTAAGCTTTAAGTGATTCCTTTGACAAACTGACTGTCACAGTGTATTTTACACACATCGTAAAATGTTTAATTTGGAACCCAACTTTCATACACACATTTTATCAGAGAATAGTCACTGGAAGATGTGTTTACCTACTAGATATTTATGGCATTTGATGGTTTTAGCTACGAGGCTGGTGTCGTACGGCCCGGATGGAGACGAGGAGGAGGGAGACAGTGATGAGGACTCGAGCCTCGGGGAGGAGGGGCAGGAGGATGAGGACACAGTAGGATCTGAGGCCATCATAGTCGACGTACAGAGATTTATACTCCTAAACCTATTTTTAAAACTCTTAATTGTGGTCAAACTAAATACACAACAATTGCTTAAACATTGTTAACTATTTCATAAGTTTAAGACTTACAGTTTAAAATCTGCCTATTTGACTCTAATACTCTACATGATTTTTACAGAATGACGTTAAACCCGAGGAGCCGTTAGATGCTGATCAAGCCTGTGAGTATTACTGTCAGGGGAATCCCCTTCTCTTCAAAGTTTGTAATTATAAAACATGTATCTCTGCCTGTCAGATGTGAAATTGTTAAGAAGTTTAATTTTGCTTTAATAAAAAAAAACAAAAAAAACAAGTTTCTGATTTTTTTTTTTTGATTACTTAAAGTTATTAAAACTGTGTGAGTTATTGAAGTCTTTATTGATCATAGTAGTTCTTGTGCACTTTTAAATGAATTTGATATCAGAATAGAGACATTCCTCTCTGTTTTTATGTTTTTTCTATCTTTGTTCTAGCATCCCTATCTCGCAGTGTACAAAACAAAACAGCAGATGAAATAGAACTTCCCGCTGAGCCACCTGGGAAGTGCTCCAAAGCTCTGCAGGTTCGGGACATATTTTCTATTGTTGGTAGTTAATTTTTAAGATAAGATGAAAAAAGTAAGGAGTTAACTTAAATAAAAAATACATTTAGTATATGTACATGATACATATACTTGTGAGAAAAATAATTTTTCTCTTCATGTATGCATGTGGAATAGGTTTGCAACAAACTGAGATACATGTAGTATTCTACTCAGCTACTCTGAGTATACAACTGGAATTTTATTTTATTCTTACTAAGTGGTTTAGCTATTAATATGCTGGGAATCAATACATTTATGAATTGCTTCATTAAAACAGATTTTTCTTTCTTCATATTTCAGGACAAAATTTCCAAGTTATACGACAAAATGCAGAATCAGGGATTAAATTTGAATTACATGAACAATAACATAAAGCAAAGGAAAAACTACCGCAATCCAAGGTATATGTTTTTCCAGTCATTACCTTTATACTGAGCTATTTCTATATTCAAATAGTCATCCTTAAATATTGTCATAATTCATTCAGTCTAACTCTGTCTCTGAAGCAAGTGTATAATTTGTTTATTTATAATTGATGAAGTGGTCACAGAATCCATTTCATATGTATGTGTTCCACTTTCACTAGGACTTATTTTGTCATGGAGATTATATACTTATACTGCATATGTTTGTATTCCTATCCATGTATAATGCATTGACACAAAATTTATTCTGCTCTTTTTTTTTTTTTTTGCAGTATTTATGAGAAGCTGATAGAATTCTGTGGTATAGATGAGAAGGGAACCAATTATCCCCCAGTAAGTACATGTAGCTGTCTTGATATTGTGTAGACCCAATCTGACTAAACCAAGACCTTTATGCTATCGCATAAATAGAGGTTTGGCTTTAGTCAGATTAATATATTGGAGTAGATCTTTTTACTTTTACTGGCTACATTCTGTTTAAAACATTAGGAAGTTTTGGAAGTTTTCAATTCATTGAAGCTCTCATATTTATGACGTCTGTTACTATTAGAATTCAATATGTGCATGGTTGTCACAAATACTGTACACCCTCATACTTCTATTGTTATATGCCTTTGCTTTACTTACAGGAAATATTTGATCCTCATCAGTGGGGAAAAGAATCATTTTATGATGCTCTGGGTAAGTGTGATTCTAATCAGGTGTGTGGGGGGGGGTGGATACATTTTATGATGCTTTGTTGACATTCTCTTATATTGAAGTTTCATCCTCTAGAACTATAAACTTGAACATTTCTATAATTCTTTGTCTATTTTTAGGTCACCTGAGTAACTCAGGTGACCTATTGCTATCTGTTTTTGTCCATCGTCGTTCGTCGTCCGTCGTATGTTAACATTTGAACATTTTCAGCTTCTTCTCTGAAACCACTGAACCAATTTCAACCAAATTTGGTATACAGCATTTATGGGTGAAGAGGAACAAAAATTTTGAATTTTATGGTTCAACCTGAGGGGTGGGGCCAAAACCACCAAAATTATAGCAATCTTTAAAAATCTTCTTTACTCCTGGACACCAAGCTGTCAAACTGTTGGCATGAATGTAATGAGCATTGAGTCCTCTACCAAAATTGTGAAATTCATGGCCCCTGGGTCAGGGGTTTTTGTGCTAGGGCGGGGCTATATAGATTATATAGTGAAAACGCATTATTTCTTTGAAAATCTTCTTCTTTGCTGTTGGGTATTAAGTAAACTAACTAAGTACATAGTTATGTTGAGCAAGAGTACCTCTACCAAAATTATGAATTTTATGGCCCCAGGGTCAGGGGTTCTAGTGTTAGGGCGGGGCTCTATTGATCATATAGTGAAAATGCATTTATTCTTTGAAAATCTTCTTCTCTGCTCTTGGGTATTAAGTAAACTAACTAAGTAAATAGTTATGTTGAGCAATAGTGCCTCTACCAAAATTGTGAATTTTATGGCCCCAGGGTCAGGGGTTATGGTGTTAGGGTGGGGCTCTTTTGATCATATAGTGAAAATGCATTTATTCTTTGAAAATCTTTTCTCTGCTTCTGGATATTAAATGAACTAACTAAACACATAGTTATGTTGAGCAAGAGTGCCTCTTCCAAAATTGTGAATTTTGTGGTCCCAGGGTCATGGGTTCTGTTGTTAGGGCGGGGCTCTATTGATCAGATAGTAAAATGCATTAATTCTTTGAAAATCGTTTTCTCTGCTTCTGGGTATTAAATAAACTAATTAAGTTCATAGTTATGTTTTCTTCCAAAATTGTGGATTTTATGGCAGGATCAGGGGTACATTAGGGTGGGGCTCTAATGATTATATAGTGAAAATGCATTAATTCTTTGAAAATCTTATCCTTTGCTCCTGGGTTTATGCCAATGATCCAAGTGTATATATTTATGATGAAGAAAGGTGCATCTAGTAAAATGGTTATTTTTTATGCCCCCTGGTCAGGGGGGGGGGGGGGGTGTTTAAAATAAATTAATGCTTTAAAATCTGCTCTATAGTATTAATCAACCATTTTATGATAAAATTTGCAAAATTTTGAAAATGTGGCCCCAGGGTCAGATTTCCTTTGGGATGAGGTGCACAACTGGTTATAAAGTGGAAGTGCATTTTCTCTTTGTTACTCTGATCTACATCTGGGTATTAGGTAAATAGAGTAAGCACGCTAAGTTTATAATGATGATAAGCAATATGGTCCTCTAAAATTGTGATTGTGAATTTCATGGCCTCTGGTTTAAAACACGAACCAATTTTAATTGTTTGAAAGTTGTTGCACGATACTCAGGTGACCTATAAGGCCCGTGGGCCTCTTGTTTTTAGGATGAATATTGTTATTACCATTTTTAGCTCACCTGAGCTGAAAGCTCAAGTGAGCTTTTCTGATCACCCATTGTCCGTCGTCCGTCTGTCCGTCCTTCTGTCTGTCTAGCTGTCCGTCCATCTGTTAACTTTTCACATTTTCAACTTCTTCTCAAGAACCACTGGGCCAATTTTAACCAAACTTGGTACAAAGCATCCTTGGGTGAAGGGGAATTTAAATTGTTAAAATAAAGGAAGGGCCAGGTCCCCTTCCAAGAGGAGATAATCAAGAAAATACAAAAATAGGTTGGGGTTATTAAAAAATCTTCTTCTCAAGAACCACTGGGCCAGAAAAACTGAAACTTTTGTGAAAGCATCCTGAGGTAGTGTAGATTCTAAATTTAAAAAATCATGACCCTCGGGGGTAGGGCAGGGCCACACTTTTACATAGAAATATATAGGAAAAATCTTTAAAAATCTTCTTCTCAAGAACCAGTGGGCCAGGAAAGCTGAAACTTATGTGGAAGCATCCTGGGGTAGTGTAGATTCTAATTTGTAAAAATCATGACCCCCGGGGGTAGGGCGGGGCCACAATAGGGAATCCAAGTTTTACATAGAAATATATAGGAACAATCTTTAAAAATCTTCTTCTCAAGAAGCAGTGTGTCAGGAAAGCTGAAACTTATGTGGAAGCATCCTGGGGTAGTGTAGATTCTAAATTGTAAAAATCACGACCCCCGGCAGTAGGGAGGGGCCACAATAGGGAATCCAAGTTTTACAAAGAAATATATAGAAAAAAATCTTTAAAAATCTTCCTCTCAAGAACCATTAGACCAGAAAAGCTGAAACTTATGTGGAAACATCCTTGGTTAGTGTAGATTCTAAATTGTTAAAATCATGACCCTGGGGGGTAGGGAGGGGCCACATTAGGGAGTCATAGTTTTATATAGAAATATATTGGAAAAATCTTTTTCTCAAGCACCAGTGGGCCAGGAAGCTGAAACTTAGGTGGAAGCATCTTGGGGTAGTGTAGTTCTAAATTATTAAAGTAAAGACCGGGGCACAATAAATATAAGAAAAGGGAAAATCTGGTAAAGAACTGCATCACCAAAGTTACTCAGGTGAGTGATGTGGCCCATGGGCCTCTTGTTTTGTTTTGATGGGGGTATTTTTAGCCGGGCTTATTGCTCAAAGAGCAATTGCCCGCTTATGTGATCCTGTTCAAGGCAGGATGTTAAACCAGTAGTCGCCATTTTAAAGTTACGTGCAAAAATATAGTTCTTACTCTCAACTGCTTTTGAGATAATACAAACGCTAAATAAAGCAACAAAAATAAAACGAAGTTTTATCTATGTAAAATAAACATTTGTAGTAATGACTTTGAAATCTTCATAAGTCAAAGAACATAGTTCATTAGCGTAAGGATTTTTGATAATCAGTGTTACCGTAGTTCTCTACACATACGGGGTAAAGCAGGAGAGGGAACCAGACTGGCCTGTTTGTTAACATTCAGCTGCGGTACCAGATTAATTCTGATTCTGACAAAATCGGACCGTGGTATTAGGATTGAAAAACTCACTGTCAGTGTCTTATCATTTATATTGATAGTTTTAAAATAATTTTTTCATCAGAATATAAACGTGATTCATGTAAGAAATCCATTCTACTCTGTAAATGAGCCCGCTCTCTGTACTTCTGAGTACTTTGATTGTAATTCCTATGTAATGTTTTATTGTGCAACATTAAAAAAATATATTATTTGAGGAAGTATGTAATAGACATACTAGTATGCTTCTTAAGTAATTTGTGCAGAGAACCATTACACAACTTTTACTTGAAGTGTTACTGAACAGTAATATACTATATGTGTACATAAATTAACATTTTCAGATTATAGCGCAATAACTGGGTACTGAGTGGTTGGTGTAATCATGAATTATTGCATCACATACCTACACCATGTATAATATTCAGTTATGACTTCTTCTGTACTCAAGAATTAATGCATTGTTGTTAGTGCCCAAACTGCTAAAATATGAAGCCCACTTTTTAAAGTACAGTAATTTGAAAAAGTATAAAACATTAAATGTTGTTTATTTATAGACAAAGCACAGAAAACAGAGATGGAGAAAAGAGAGAAAGAGAGAAAAGATAGGACAAAGGTGAAAAATAATAAGACCGTCTCACTTTTTAGTGGCATATTTCAAAGTTTTCTTATGAATATATAAAGCTAAAAAGATAGGGACAGAGGGAGAGAGATGAATATTTCCTTGAAAGCTGTCTTCAGATTTAATATCAGCATTTTAAAACCAATGTACTATTTATTTTTTATTTTTAGATAGAGTTTGTGACAGGGACGAAAAAATCAAGTTCAGATGGAGGGCCAGGTAATATTGATGATTCAGACTGGTTTGTTTACTTTATTGTAAGGAATGCCATTTTCTGTATGTATTGTCAGTAAATTTAAAGAATAACATTTATTGTAAGAAGTGACAGCTACATGTTTACTGTTTGACTAGAAAAATGAGTTACTAATTAAGATTCTCTGATCTTTTTAAGATAAATGCGTTAGAAAAAGATACAACGTTTAGCAGTTTAATAAAAAATTAAGAATTTTTATTAATTGACAGAGAAATCTTTAAAATAAAACTTCTGAAAAAAAATTAAAATCATTTTAGTTTTGTCAGCTCATAAATTACAGTAACTGGGTAGACAACATGTTTAAACCTTAACTTTGATCATTCATCCCAAAAAATATACATGTAGATCACACATTGAAATAAATATCCTTGTACATCATGTAGCCCCCCCCAAAAAAAAATACATACATGTAGATCACTCATCCAAATAAATGTACTGGTACATGTAGACCAACCCCCCTCCCCCTCCAAAAAGAAATACACGTAGCTTACTTGCAGTATCCAAAACCATTTTTAAGATGTAAAGAATAAAACTACATGTATTTACCCAAAGAAATACTCTGTGACACATCTTAGCTTTAAGTTAGGGGAGCTCAAAGAGGTTATGGCAGTATTTTAAGTATTTTTCTTCATTTTTCAGATGAGAAGAAGAGGAAGAGTAAATGGGACTCGCTACCCCAGGTGACGGGGACGAGACCGGGGGTCGTAAATCCCCCCGTCGTGGTATCCTCCCTCACCATAACAGCCACGGGAACCAAGACCACCGTCATTCCCGCTGTAGGCAACATAACCAAGAAATCAAAGTCCTGATACCTCCGTAATCTAACAGCTGAATTGTCAAGCCAAAGAAACATTGAAAAATGACAGTTTATAAATGAGTGACATCAGCAGCTGTGCTGCAGGGTATACAATAGGATTGGTTTAAACACCACAAAACATATAAAATTTATGTTGAACATCTGAAGTTAACAGAATATTTCATTTCTAGTTCTGGACTGTAAAAACTGTGAAACTGTGTAAAATACTGGTTAGTGTTATCATTCATGCAACTTTTATTATCAACATGATTCCATATAAAAATTTCATCATGTCAGTGTTTGTGCTGGATGTATGGCAGTGACTGAATAAGTGCCAGTATTAAAGATGAAGTGAAATATCACATATATACATTATATCAAATCACTCAGATTTCTTGATTACATTTTTAGTATTGGTCCTTATCAGTGAATTCTTCTCTGTGTAATATTGATAAAGTTTATTCTGTTGCTGCATTTTTGGATTTAATTACTCCAGTCTATATCTAATATGTATTAAAATTCATTGGGTGAATTCACCATGCATCGCACATATGTCTTGCTTCAGACAACTTCAAGCAATGTGAGGGTTCCCCTTTATTTACTTGTGTCTGTCTAAAAAAATTCTACGTTAGGATCACCTCGCATGACTCTCAAGATGGACATGAGAATTTTTATGATCCGCAGTGAATATGGCTGAGGCATATAAAATCTGTCATGCCTGTATTCCGTCCTTCCATTCTGCTTTGCGTTTAGTTCATTTCAAAGCTAAGTTTCAAAGAAAATATTCAAGATATTTTTATCAAACTTCGTTTGCTGTTCAATACATATTGCTAAGATCTATTTGACTGCCTCAACATTTTTACCTCGACTTTTATTTTGACTTTTCTTAAATGGACATGAGAATTTTTATTTACCATTGATTAATCAGAAATATGCAAAAGGAATACTAATTCTAAATGTCATAATTACTCAAAAAATGGCTGAGGTGATAGCCACATGTGTGTAATAAAAACTCTCTCCCACTACAAATGTAGAACTTTGGTCAGCTGTTGCAGAGTCTGGGGATGCGATTGTCTTTGGCAAATCATGTCAATCCATTTTGTCCAATGCTGCTTAATTTGGATTAAATCTAGCGATTTAGATGACTTTGACTGAAACAGGTTGTTGTTTCTTTGCAAGAATAGATGTTTCAAACGAGCCATATGTGGCTGTGCATTGTGCGATTGCAATACGGCATTAGGATGCTGCAAAATTGAATGGGTATGTGTAGGTAGAACATGGTTTCAAAGTTCATTGAATTCTAAACAAATCAATCTTACTTTCTTATAATACCTTTTTCCATATCATTACACTACCACCACCAACTTTTTTAACGTCCTGGAGGCAGTTATCTGTCTAACATTCATTTCAAAGCATTAGCACTCTTAAACTTATAAGATTTCAGATATTTTAACCAAAATGTTCAGCAGTGATGCTGTGGTCATAATCTATTGATCTGAGATCTTTGAAGTCGATATTTGGGGTGTTGTGGGGTCGGAACAATGGCATGTGAATTCCTCTTGCAATAATTCTTAGTCAACTGAAAACGGTCTTGTTAGATGATCTGTGCAGTTCAGGGATAGCTTATGTTTTAGATGACTTCCTTGCATTACATTCATGCAATTTACGTAATCCTCGGAAGTGATGCTGTGCTGCTGATGTCACACGTAGTCTACCATATTTTTTGCGAACATTTGGTGTTCGATGTTAATGGTTTAAGTTTTATAGGTTAGATATGGTCTGTGTGTAACATTAAAATCTCTTGCAATTGTAGATTGCGGTACCCCTGCTTCCAGTCGCCCTTTTTCCTTTTTGTGCTACGCAACATTCAGATGCAGCATTTCTAGGAAGCTTTATTTTTCAGATAAAACCAGGTTCAAAATATCGAGAACCCCCGCTTTTGATAGCCCCTTTGTACCTGAAGGAATTGCAGGAATTCAACAAATGAAAATTGAAATTTTTGGGGGAAATTTTGCAAAATCAGGTCTTTTTGTCTGTGAGACTGCTGTAAAGTTAACAATTGCATTTAAAAATCATGCGTTTCACTGGAATACATCGTATCCATACAAAAATAATAGTTATGACAAAACTATCATACATTTTTCAGGGCATTGTTCCTACTATGCGTTTCTTTTTTTGAAGAGTATATTTAGCTCAGTTTTATATGAACCATACGGGATACATGTAGAGTTATTCATTATGCTGATGCAAACTGAGTTAAGCTTTTCAACTGAATCAACCTTTTTTTTGCCTTTCCTTTGAGTTTGACCTCACTTTTCTTTTAAATTCATGTTTAGCTTAATTTTTAGAAAATGAAATTCAATATATTTTTACCAAACTTAATATGCTGATATATATGCAATTAGTGAGATTTATTCAACTTACTCAAAAACTTCTTTCTTGCACTTTCTTGTGACGTTGATCTCGCTTTTCTTGAATTTGCATTGTGCTTATTTTTGAAGAAAACATTTAAAATAATTTTATATAAGCTTACGCACTTATACTTAATTTAGTGAGATTTTATCTATATCCTTTTTTTGTAGATTTCAGTTTTAAAGAAACTAAAGAAGACATTCACCTCAAACTTCACCTTTAATACAAATGTTCATGCTGCATTCTTAATAAAATCTCGGTGGGGCATTCATGTCCTATGGAAAAATTTCTAGTTTTTATACCCACTATTGAAAAGTGGGAAGGTATATGGTGATCGGGATGTCCTTCCGTCTAGCTATCTGTACGCCCGTTTGTCTGAACTACGTTTTGTGGTACCCATCTCTCATCCGCAACTCCTATTCTACTGAATACTTGATACTTTTACAGATTCTTTATTACATAATGCCAGTGTGCGCCTCCTATTTTACTTTTTGATCTGACACTTATTTCGGTCTCCCAGAGCAAAACATGGACTTTACCATTATAATCATATGGGGGGGGGGGTTAGGGGGTATAATTTAGTTGGCTCACTGCTCACAGTACCTCTAGTTATTACCCGCGCTTCAGAAAAATGGGAGAGTTATAAGGAATCACTGTCTAGTTAGTGGGATTTGCCAGGGACATCATCGATAGTTGGAATTGTGGGATAATTTATGCATAACGGGCTTCTGTGGCATGCCAAATTCACAAAAATAAGCTAAAGATAGTTTCACAGTGATAAACTACGTTTATCGACTGTAAACTATAGTTTACAAACCGTGAACTATAGTCAACAATTCGTTAACTATAGTTTTCATCTGTAAAACTATATTTAACGGTTGTTAACTATAGTTTACGAATGCTAATCTAAGTTTATCTGTCTGCAATAAAACGTTAACAATAGATTTTGTTGATAAACATAGATTCACATCTGTAAACTATAGTTTACAATCGTAAACTATAGTTAAGAGTTGTTAATCATAGTTTCACAAATCGTGAAACTATATTTATCAGATCGTTAACTATAGTTAAGAGTTGTAAACCATAGTTTACAAATTGTGAAACTGTATTTATCAGATAATCTATGTTTTGCAATCGCAAATGATTGTTTTCAGTGTTAAGTATAGTTTACGGTTCTGAAACGTAGATTATAGCGTTAACTATGGTTTACAGATGTAAAATATAGATTAACGTTGTTAACTACCTATAGTTTACAGTCCGTAAACTATAGTTTTCAAATGATAAACCTAGTTTATCGACTGTGAAACTATGTTTATTGGCTCATTTTTGTGAATTTGGCGTGCCATAGGCTTCCCTTGATTCACTGACACTTTGTTACAGATAGTGCCACTCTGCACCTCATATATATTACTTTTGATTTTAAAACATATTTCTGGTTTCCCATAGCAAAACATTAAAACTGCCATTTTTTATATAATTTTGAAGGGTACCCATCTCTTATCTGCAACTCCTTCAATACCACTGAATACAATTTAATGATACTTTCACTGATTGTTTATTACATAATGCCATTGTGCACCTCTTATTTTACTTCTTGATCTGACATTTCGGGCCTCTCAGAGCAAAAACATGGACTTTGCAATTATAATCATATAGGAGGCGGGGGTATCATTTAGCGAGCTGTGCTCACATTACCTCTAGTTTTTCTACTTTTCCCCTTAAATATAGATTGAGAACTTCCAATTAATCTCTCTCGTTCTCTCTCTATTATATATGGGTGGGGGATTAAATGGCAGTGAAGAATACTGGATCATACTTTCCAATTATTAGAAAAATGTTTTTGGATTTAATTGTTTCCGTAACATTTATTTAATTGAACAAAACAATGATTTTTTGTGCTTAGATACAAGTATATACACATGTATACAAAATACGTATTATGAAGGATTTCAAATGAAGATGATCTCTGTGAAAAAGAAGATTACTGGTATTCTTTGAATTTGTGAGTCAACTTTAAACAAAGATAACTAAATGCACTTTCCATTTATTGTTTTCTTTTCCAAGCCTCCCAGACTTGAGGAAAATTGTAGACTACCTCGTGTGTTCGAGCCAAAAGTTGACGCAGACGGCAATAACGACAAAGAAAGTTTCCTACGTGTGGAGCAAAATAATGTGGCTGAAATTGTATGTAATCAAAGTTTTCTATTAGATTTGTGGAGAGCAAGGTCTCTAAAACATCAATCTCACAGCCTTCGCAGTTTATAGTTAGGAGGTCTATTTTATGACAGCCCACTCCTAGCTGAATGAAAAAATCCAAGACACTCACTAACCGAACCTTTTCAGTCGTTTTAGCTCGCCTTTTTTGTATAACTTTTTTCCTTGATAAATTCGTTGCGTCTCCGACTATTCCAATGTCCATTTCCTTCTGACTTCTGGAGAGGCCAAAGTTATACGTTCTTATGCTTGTGTTGAAGTTGAAAGTTTTAATGTTCTTGTTAAGTGTGTTGTAAAAACTTGGCACAGGTTCTATAACAACATAGTGCTTTGCATCTGTTACAGGAATAAGTCTTCTCAGAAGTTGACCGGTGTAACCCCCAATTTCAATTATTACAACATCAGATTTTCCTTTCAGGAAGGAGAAAAACTTACTTGTGATATTGTAATCCAAGCGTCGAAGATAAAATTCTTGAACATTTTCTGGTATCATGTTACCTTCCACACAATAATGAAACGAGGGTATCTCAACGCTGGATAAGTCTTTTACATGTTTTCGTTTTATCATATTTATACATTTATTACTTTTGGTTGAAGGTAGAATAGGTGTAACCTGTGGTAAGTCGGGTATCCTTATTGGTGATGTCAACTGCTCATTTATGAAGGGGAGATCTGAAGGTAGGTCACAATTCGTCACTCGTACTGCTTTTATTCCCAATAAGTCCTTCAAATGTGTCATCAGGTTCTTCAAACTGTATGATACAATGCTGATAACTACAACGGCTATAATTGTTTTCCAAAATATTCGTTTCTGGGACATATTCTGAAAGATAACCAAGCATAATTTTATTTATTCTTTTATCTATAGATTTTGTTTTTGTTGAAAGTTATCTTGTACACGTTTAATTTGTCAGATTACATGTATTCCGATGAAGATTGAAAATTTATAGCGACACATGCATGTCATCATCCATTGTTATGATTCCACGTACTGACATTTATAGTTATATGGATTAATGTACTTATCTAATGCCTATTAATTATGAATTTCGATGGCTGTGTTCATTTTGTATATCTATAATTGTATTTGCGCTGTAATTCTTTCGTCTTCAGAGATACAGATTTTGAGCACTAAATGTGTTGTACTAGAAATTTGCTTTAATCATGACACTAAATCTGAAGAGTTTTTAATCAGTTTCATTATATAGCCTAAATTTTTATTATTAAACAAGATGTGTTTGTGAGACACTATGCGCGCGGCTGCAACAAAGTTAAAGAAACCCCCATATTTTTAGCATATAGGTCACAGTCAAGATCACAAGGTCATCGATCTTGGTGTCATTTGAAAGAACTTGATTAGTGAAGTATGCATACCAAATATGAAGTCTCTATCTCTCATTGTTCAAAAGTTATGGTGAAGGTTAAAAAGGCTATTTTTAGCTTATAGGACACAGTCAAGGTCACAAGGTCATTGACCTTTGTGTAATGTGAAAGGGTTTAATTATCGGAGTATGTCAAATATGAAGTCTCTATCTTTCTTCGTTCAAAAGTTATGGCGAAGGTTACAGTTTGCCGACAAAAAAGCTATATTTAGCGTATAGGTCACAGTAAATGTCACAAGGTCGAAAACCATGGTGTCATTTAAAAGAGCTTAATCAGTGTTGTATGGATACCAAATATGAATTTTCTATCTTTTATGGTTCAAAAGTTATGGCGAAGGTTGCAGACAAACAGACAGACAGACAGGACAAAAACAATATACGCCTCGGATCTTTCGATCCGGGCGCATAAAAAAAGATTTTTGTTTTTGATTTTCGAAAGAAGTACAATGTAACTTGTAAAACTTGTTTTTTATTTGGAAAGACACGAATAGCACACCATCAAATTGCTGCATGTTCCTACTCACTGTATAAGCATGGAAAAATTAAAACTCACTTAGGCCTTCAGAAGTTCCTACGAATTTACATTGAATTTCAAACAACACACAATAATAAGATTATCTGTAAACATAAGAAATAATGAAAAGTAAACAAATCTTTTACCGTTTCTCTAGACTCGTTTTTCACACTGGTCTTTGGTTGAAACTGGTTTAATTCTGATCTAATAATAGATTTAAATCACCGATCACCACCCTGATGTATGGAAACCACTTAGAGAAAAACTACGACAAAATAGTTACATAAATAATAAAGTTTTTGTTTCACTTTCTTCTCCACCTCTGCTAATGTGTTCGGAACTTTTTATGTGCGGAGTTTAAAGTGGACATTATTCATATATCACACGTGTGCTTCGATGGTGACATACCAGAATATTTGCTCCGAAGTGACAGGAAAGCCCTGAAATGTTATGTCTCCCGCTGCCGAAAGCAACATTTCTGGTATAGTCACCCGAGAAGCCATGTGGTGATTATGAATAACATTTTTAGTATTTAAATTCGTTTAATATCAATCAAGTTAAGAAAAATGACAAAAAGAGTATTTTAGGCTCGGATTCGGCGTGGCTAACTATAACGAGATATTCCAGGTCATTTTAGGGAAGGTTATTCCATTCCTATTGTAATACTGCAGCAAGTTGTTGGACATTGTCAGGAGGTTGTTGACGTTGGCGTAGCCGCTGTCCAAGCATGTCCCAGCCATGCTCGATGGGTTTCATACTAAGTGCGGTCCATGGTAATGTTTATTGCCCTTGTCACAGCGACTTGTCTAGTGCAAGCCTGTACATGTAGCATGCCAAGAGCACACTAACCTCTCATCCTATGTTTAACGTCTCTGTTTAATTAAGGACTTCAACAACTGATAATCTGATGCTTTCTCTTCGGAATCTTTCTTTAGAGTTACTTCAACCTTCCCATTCAGAGGCATACTAATTTGTGGCACAACACTCTTGATCATCAGTAGCATCCCGTGCAGATCGGGATTTAATATAAAGAATTATGACCCTTTGATCTTGACGTTGGGGTTTGACCTACTTTTAAAAATTGGTAACCTTGGCCATAACTTTTGAAGGGTTAGGGCTAGGGCTTCCATACTTCACATATATATTTTTTGTGGCAAGACCTTTCATCGGATACCAATTACACTGACCTTGGAGATTTTCGTACTTATGAAAAAACTTTAAACTTGACCTACTTTCATATTTTCACAATTGTTTTCCAGTGAGATTACCCTACTTTGGATACCAATATATTAAACTTGCATATACAAGAAAAGTTTAATATTCGCTATGTTTCCATACGGGGACATCAGTGTTTCACAAACACATCTTGTTTGAATTGCTTATAAAAGCGTGGCTTCTCGGTTGACTATACCAGAAAATTTGCCTTCGGTAGCGGGATACGTAACACTTCAGGGCTTTCCTGTCACTTCGGGGCAAATATTCTGGTATGTCACCATCTAATCACTTGTGTGATATATGAATACTGGCCACTTAACTCCGCACATAAAAGGTTCCGAACACATTAGCAGAGGTGAACAAGTAAGTGAAACAAAAACTTTATTATTATTTATATAACTGTTTTGTCGTAGTTCTTTCTCTAAGTGTTTTCCATACATCAGGGTGGTGATCGGTGATTTAAATCTATTATTAGATCAGAATTAAACCAGTTTCAACCAAAGACCAGTGTGAAAAACGAGTCTAGAGAAACGGTAAAAGATTTGTTTACTTTTCATTATTTCTTATATTTACAGATAATCTTATTATTGTGTGTTGTTTGAAATTCAATGTAAATTCGTAGGAACTTCTGAAGGCCTAAGTGAGTTTTAATTTTTCCATGCTTATACAGTGAGTAGGAACATGCAGCAATTTGATGGTGTGCCATTCGTGTCTTTCCAAATTAAGAACAAGTTTTACAAGTTACTTCTTTCGAAAATCAAAAATAAAAATCTTTTTTTAAAGAATAGAATATAAGCTACATACTGAAACTAATTAAAAACTCTTCAGATTTAGTATCATGATTAAAGTAAATTTTTTATTTTATAAATCATTTAGTGATCATAACCTATATCTCTGGAGACCAAAGGATTACAGCGCAAATACAATTATAGTATCATAATGAAGTACAAAAAAAAGGTATACTGAAGTACTTTGAAAATTAACACCTCAAAATTGAAATGTAATAATGATACAGAAGATTATAATAACATGTTAAATCATTTTACTATATAGTTCGATGCACGTGCATGTATCAATTAAAATCTCATTTAGCTCACATGAGCTAAAAGTTCAAGTGAGATTTAATGATCACATTTTGTCTGTTGTCCGTCTGACTGTCTAGTAACCCTCAGACTGTAAACTTTTCACATTTTCCACTTCTTTTCCAGAACAACTGGAACAATTTTATCAAAACTCGCCATGACTCTCGCTCATATAGTGTAAAATTTGAAAGTTTGTTCAAATCATGATTCCATTCTGTAACATGGTGTTTTATTTGGGAATCAAAGATTTATACATGAATATATCTTCTTCAGAATAGCAAAGCCATGATAAATTGTATCAATAAGGAAGCATTTTTAGTTAGTGGAGGTTCAAATTTCTTTAAGTATAACCGCCGGAAAGGGGATGTTAAGATGGGCTACAATGGGCAATAAAAGTTTTTAAAGAAAAGCATAGGGAAAAAAATTAAGATTATTCTTATCAAGAATGTCAAAACCTTGCAATTAATTAGTCATATTTATACAGAAGCATCCTGAATGAGTGTAAAATCAATTTTGTTCATGATTACGGCGGATATGTTCAAAATGGGGGATAAAAAGAATCCACAGGTAAAATCTTTTCGAGAACAGAAAATTCATGATTAGTCATATTTATATGGAAGCGTCATTAGGCATTCTAGAATCAAAGTTTTATAGAAAAGCTTAAGAAAAAAATCTTTAAGAATCTTCTTATCAAGATCGTCAAAACCTTGATTGGTGATAATTATATACATGTAGAAGCATCTTAAGTGATTGTAAATCAATTTTGTTCAAATCATGATCCCCGGGGGTAAGATGTGTTTAAAATGGGGGATCAAAGAACGCAGAAGAAAAATCTGTTCGAAAACAGAAAATTCATAATTAATTTTTCATATTTATATGGAAGCGTCATTAGTTATTGTAGATTCAAGTTCAAATCATGAGCCCTGCGGGTAGGGTACGGCTACAGCAGGGGATCAAAGTTTGGAATATGAGATATATTAAAAATTCTTCTAAAGACAAGCAAAGCGGTAATTACAATGTAATCATATTAATTTAGACATCCTCAAGCACAAGTGTAAATTCAAGTGTGTTAACATTTTCTCCATGGGGTAGAGCAAAGTAATAAACATCTGTTCACTTTTCTATTTTTAACTTTTCAAAACTGAACTGATTTCTGTCTGTTTCTAGTAACAGCTAGTACTCAGGTGATCGATGTGGCCCATGGGTCCATTGTTTTTAAAGTTATATTTATATTCCCGCTTTAAAAGCAGGGGATACGTAGTGATCGGGATGTTCGTCCGTACGTCCGTCTGTATGCTTTGGGGTACCCATCTCTTATCCGCACCTCCTCTCATACTACTGAGTGAAATTTAATGAAACCTTCACACAATTTTTTTTACATATTGCACCCCCTATTTTATATTTTGATCTGACACTTATTTCGGTTCTCTTAGAGCAAAACATGGATTTTGCTGCTATATTCATATGGGAGGCAGGGGTACATGTATAATGATTTTCGTCAAAACAAAATGAACTTGGATCTTCATTTAATGACATACTCAATATTTGAGTGTAGGAAATCAATCAGTGCACTTAATGGCCATTCTTCGACGACCATCTCAAGAATAAAAAAGACTCCTGTAGAAATTTAATTACTTATAACATAAAACATTTTTTTCTAATATCAAATACTAAATTCTTATATAAAATTTTTAATCGCCTTTTTGTCCCACCTTATTACCTTCAAGGGATACAAGAAAAGAAACTTTCAATCTGAAATACTTGAAGAGCTTTGCATATATTAATCTGACTACAAATAAGCATGATGTTGGGGGGGGGGGTTGTTTTGCTTATGCATATGCATTTTGCATATGTTGGCAATCTAAGAAAAGAGTTTGATATTCCACCTGCAGATTAAATAGAAATCGTGTGTTGAGGAATTATTTATGAGCCCTTGAACAAAGTAAGCATACAGAGTATGTATTGTAGACCTTCCCTATTCTCGGAAGAGGGAGGGTAATTTGAAAATATCTTAATATGCACTAATTTTATTTGAACAAACTTCATTTATTTTATTTGAACAAACTTGAGTTTGTGGTCTTGAAAAGTTTAGTTTACGTTTGGCCTTTGTTTAAGGAACGGCATGAAGGCGGACGAAGACGCATGTTAATCAGGAAAACTCACTTAAACTGATGGCTTCTAGAGAAAGTGGGCCAGGTCCCCTGAAATCAACCCCGGAAAACATGCACTCATACGTTCATGTTGTTAAAATTCTAATATGCAAAAAGAGACTAGAAATAGTGACATTGTCTCTAGAAAAATTTAGTGATTTTCAATTTTCTAAATGTAATTTGGGTTTCATTTGATTTACACCGCTTCTAGAATGTACTCTAGTAGAGAGCGTCTGATGTTTCTTGTTTACTAGAGTTAATATTTTTGTAAGGAGTAAAGATATCTGAAAAACATTATAAAGTACCAATTGATGAAAAGAAAGACTTTTGAGACCATATCTTGATATTATTTGATTTGAACATGTCTAATTATGTAATAAATACATAAGTAAATTGGTCAGCAGGCATAGTCTATATAAGCCCTCTCGACAGGTACAAGGTTGATTTATACACATTATACTATATATAGTTACAGGCTCATATATCACCAATAAGTTATATATAACTTACACAAAATCGAATGGAATTTTGAAGAAAAGGAAAAAAAATACATATAGTTAAACAAGTGAATACCGGTTAATGTGAAAATGAGAGAATAAATTGAAATATGAGAATTACAGCAATTTATATAAAATACAATGAATGTGTATTTTACACATTCGTGCCGTTCCGTAAAAGGGCTCAACGTAATGATCCCCGGGAAGTTGCTTCAATGTTTAATTTGCATGTGGGAACTGAGGATCAGCATGAAACACGAATATCAACCAGAGGGCAAAAGGCAAAGGGTTTATATTATTTTTAGGATTTGTCGTTGAACTTTTTGACAAATCATGCATTGTAACGGTTATAGATTTCCAACGTATGCTTGAAATACACCCCCTTTACCACTGAAAAAAATCCTACCAACATTATACTTATACATTGTCAAGTCAGAAAAAAATACATGCAGAGCCCTTCAGGTGTTTCATATCGAAGGTTTCCTTGTTCCTTGAAGTTATACGGTGGGATAAAAATAGAGATGAAAAGTTTTATATGAAAATATGGTTTTGGTATTAGAAAGAAATGCTTTGTGTTACAAGTAGTCAATTTTCTACAGGATTTCTACGCTCAAATACTAGTAATTGATCAAGTCTGTCATAAAATGAAGACCCCAGTTCATTTTGTTTTGACGATAATGCATCATTCGGTCTTCATTCTATATGTTAAATTATTAAATACGAATAAGGGATGCTGACCACGTAAATACATACTAAGATAGTAATCTTTCGAATTCATTCAATTATAATATTTAATCAATGTCACGCTGACCCATATTAATTCACATTAATATTTACATGAATATTAACTACATTAAACACATAATTAGTACCGGTAAATAGAAATAGAGTGCATAAGAAGCATATATGTAAGGTATGTTCCAATTGTGTTACACCCGAAATAAATGTCAGATCAAAAAGTAAAATAGGAGGTCACAATGGTATTATTTCATAAAAAAAAATCTGTAATTTAAGTATTATCAAACTGTATTCAGTGTTGTCGGAGGAGACGTAGGTAAGAGATGGGTACCCCTCAATATTACTGAAAGAATGGCAGTGTTCATTTCTTGCTATGGGAATCTCAAAATATGTGTCCAGTCAAAAAGTAAAATAGAAGAAGCACATTGGCAATATTTTAAAACGATTGAGTGAAAGATTCTTAAAATTTTAATCAGTGGTATGAGAGGAGTTGTGGATAAGAGATGGGTAAACCAAAGAGTAAAAGACGGACGTCATGTACAGGACGGACGTACAGGCGGACGGGCATTCTGATCACTATGTTCCCACCTGCTTTTCAAGCCAGATTAGGAATATAACTTTTAAAACAATAGGCTTAGGGACCACATTGATCACGTGAGTACTAATGCTAGAAACAGAGGGTTTTGACTACCTGAAGATGCTTCCATTTTAATGCAACTTATCATGGCATTGCTGTTCTTAAGAAGATGTATTCATGTATAAATCTTTGATTCCCAAATAAGACACCATGCTACTCAGGAATCATGATTTGAACAAACTTTCAAATTTTCAAACTATCTGAGCGAGAGTCATGGCGAGTGTGGATAAATTGGTCAAGTTTTCTGGAAAAGAAGTGGAAAATGTAAAAAAAAAAGAAAAGTTCACAGTCGGAGGGTTACTAGACAGTCAGACGGACAACAGAAAAAATGTGATCACTCACGTGACCATGCTCATATGAGCTAAAAGAGATTTTAAATGATACATGCATGTGCTTCAAACTATATAGTAAAATCATTTAACATGTAATTATAACCTGTATTATTATCTAATTCAAGAATTGATTTTTTTTTTGTATTTTCAAAGTACTTCAGTATACCGTTAATTGACTTTTTGGGATGTTACTCACCTTCACCCAAGACGGGAGTTGATGTATCAGTCTGCGTAACATGTCTCCTAGCATCGCAATGTCAATCACTCTATCTGCTTATCTTAATAATTAATGTTGAATTTCAGAGCTTTTGTACATCAAATTAGAAATGAAATTGTATCATCAAGTAACCTACTTATCTTGTATCCTTCGGTGTACTGTATACAGAGTAAAATCATAATCCTTATAACCAGGATGTCCGGAGAGATTATTTAATATCTCTAATATTTAATATTTCTAGAATACTAGTACTTTTCGCCGTCCAGAAAAAATACCAGTCTATTATGACTCGCCTATAAGTCGGACATAGACTTTTGGACTAAAATTTAACTTCCTAAAAACCGACTTATAGGCGAGTATATACGGTAAGACTTTTGTATAATGTTTCCTTCCATGAGGACTCTGTGAATTACTTATGCATAAGCACTCATGTTTCCACTGAGAGAATCATTTGACTTTCTTATAAAATTTAAGCCATTTTTAATGATTTAAGCATAGGAAAACCAGGCGAATTCCCGACCCTGAGAAAGAAAAGGCGGAAATTTTAGCAATACAGTGTGAAAAACCTCCTCTACAGTACAAATTCAGGAATATATTAAAAACCGTTTTAGAAAATTGAAAGACAATTTACGAGCCATTGATCCTTTTTTTAATAGTAAATTCGTTTGTGATAAATGGATTAAAAATGCTACGTAAACAGAAAAACTTGTATAAATTATTATATCCTTTTTAAATTAGGGTGACCGTTATAACCTTTTTTTGTTTTCCAGAAGAATCTGGTTTTAATCCTACCTTTGGAAATCTAACTTACACTCATCGTTCTCTTTTTATAATTAAAATTCTTAAAAATCATATTTCAGTGTTAAATATTTTTAACATTTAGTCAACCAAGAGTTCAGCCTTCTCCCTTTTTTGCCTTTATCAGAATCCTAAACCTCATAACAATCTTTCTAAACAAAATAATACGTTGCAAAGTGCAGTAATTTGCTCTACCTACCCCCATCTTTATCTTTACCAAAGCATTGTCCACTGTTAAAGAGAAACAACAGTATATAACTAGAATAGTGTAAGTCAGATGCCGATTTCAAATGCTTCGACAATTTTTTTTTAATAAATTTAATTCTAAGACAATAGCATCATTTCTGCACTTTATATACAACCCCTTCCTCGCAATTAATATGGGATAGGATGGGACAACAATAAACAATAAAAATTTTACATTGGAATTTTCATGGAAAAAATCTTTTATAGCTTTTCATGAATATTAAATGAATGATGTCTTATTTAATAATGGCTTTTCAGAGCGTTTGGCTCGTTCAATTCAAGATCAACAGGAGTAGGGTGGGGTCACTATAGACAATCGAACTTTTCCATTGTAAAAAAAAATCTTAATTCTCTAAAGGATGAATTTAAATAGAAGATATATCAGCAAATACAATTTATCATTTAATTAAATGCTGACTGACATTTTTCATACTAATTGTTAGTCCATTATTTTTACACTGCATTGACAACGGATTTTCCGTTATTTCCCGATCATGACATGGAGCACACGGGATGCACACTCCTCCATGGCACCTGATCCCACCTCTTATGTTTTGGAGGTCTGTATTTGCTCTGCTCCTATTTTGTAGTGTTTTATGGACTTTGATACTGAATATTGGTTGTTGTCTACATACTAGTATTCTTCATATGATAGATTCACGTTTGTTCAATTATTATTAACTCCTAGGGTTAGGCCACATTATGTAATATTTATGTAGAACCCCGGACTGTCAACCTCTTGTTTCATTTATCACTGTTTACTCCTCTTGAAGTTTTATCTTCTCGCAGACAAAACAATAATAGATACATGTACATGCTTAACATTTTCTTATCCATGCCCATACTTTTACAAGTATTCTATAAAGGTTTATAAATTTTTGATCGATTAAAAATATTTAGTGTTCAAAAAGAAAACAGGTAGACATTAAATTAATTAATTACTATTGAGGAATGATATCTTACATTGGTATCTCATCTGATTTATTGTAGAAAGCTGGTTTTGAAGAAGAAAAAAACCCCTCAGTATCTCATAAGTAAAGGGTTGAGGTTTCTAGAAAAAGAATCAGTAACGAGGTCAAACCCATTTCTGATAATGAATAATTTGACAAGTTATCATGGCCATAGACGCTCATGGTTATGACCATTCACTTGTATGAGTGAGTACAAGAAAATATAATCAGGTAGAATAAATGACCACGTTTTAATGTATAAATAGGCGTCGTGCACAGAATTGGAGCAGATTTTGTAACCTCAAAGATGCGTCCTTCAACGCTTAAATTTGACGTCCAAGTGTTGGAATATGCAATATATCTCTCAAATTGCGAAGAACTCGTTAAAAAAAAGCTTAGATTCATGATATACATCCTATTAAATATCAAAAGAAGATGGGCGCATTTGGCGTGTGATCTGCAGGAATCATTTGTACGAAACATTTATGGTTTAAATGTCCATGATTTGGTTGGCTGAACATACACATGTAGCTGGTCAGAGTTCACAAACACGTCCATAGGTTTTTTTTCAATTAGTTTGAAAGTGTGAGATTGTAACGTTTTTGTCCGTTTTTCCTAGGGGATACTATAACATAGTAATGTTTCATAAGAAATAAACACCTAAAATATTTAATGCATATAGATGCATGATACGTGTACATGTACATTATATAGAATAGAAGATTAGAATTGATTTCGCTCGAGAACCAAACTGAATCAAACTTAATTTAATTCAAAATTTCAATATATCCGTACATAAAACGAAACTGACAAAATAAATGGTTGGTTGTATGAAAAAAAAAAAATTAACGCCCCATGCCAGGCTCGAACCAAAAATCTTTCGATTCCAGTGCACTGATCAGGTAGCCCTACTTACTGAGCTATCACCGCCCCACATACACATTTGATTTTTAAAGGACAAAGAAGCACCACATTCACACATTTGGATTTTGGGGGGAAAAGTTCGTTTTTCGTGGTCTCTGGGTCTTCTCTCCATTTTTTTTTTTTTTTTTTTAAAAAGTGTATTCGTTTCATTGAATTAAAATACACACAAATAACGTTTCAAAATCATGGAGAGAAGACCCAGAGATAGAAAATTTTTAGAAAAAGTGTTTAAAATGTACCATTTTGTACCAAATGTCTGATGTGGCCAATTTTCAAGTTATTTTTTAGCAAATCAAAGCTCAATTTCGGGAAAATATTTTCCTTTCCTGTTGCACATGAACCCGATAAATAAAAAAAAAAATTAAAATTTCATGTGACATGTCAATAAGATTTTCACTTTTCAATTACGCCCAGATTCCTGCCGAATCCCAATCAAAAGCGCCCTCGTTCTTTGCATAGTAGTGTTGTAGTATAAAAACCGACGTGACATCAAAATTACCTTAGCAATCTCTCCAAATACTTGCTATTTTCAAGAGACACTTTTCTACTACTTGATTTGCACATTCCATTTACCATTTTAATTTTACCAGCAGAACTCATTTTATAGAAAAAAAAAAATATATACTCAACATTCCATATTTCTTTGTTACTTGTCAAATTCACGGCATACCAGTATATTACGGGACGCTACCATTTATTTTACAAACAGTAGGAATCTGCAAATATTGGATTGTGTATGAGGTAGAAAATGAGGACCTCGAGAAACCATGTCGTCATGAAACTAAATGGAGAAGGCGCCTGGTCATCAGATAGTGTCTTTTTTATTTTAGGATAATTTGATAAATATTCAAGTTATCAAGCTAGAATTTTAAACTTTTGTTGTTTGATGTTCTTTAAAAATTTTGTAAGCATAGACTACATAGTATTAATTTTACCGCATCCGTCCACGAACTTTTTGAACCCATCTTATGTACACATATTTATAGAATACGTTTTTTACAGACTCGGGGTCTCTAAAGTTTTGTATGTACATACTGATAAAGTTTATGGATTTCTGCATGTACAAGGCGGTGGATACGAGTGCATGCTTACATACGTTTGATGTAAAACAGCATTTTGATTAACTTAATTTTCTTTTTTCTTGAGAATTTGATTATTTCATTTTCACTCACCATTTAATAATTACTTAAAGTATTAAAAGGCTAAACATAATTTTTTGCTATGCTTTCTCTCTTTTCAAATATGTACAATGTTAAAGATTATATAATTTATTTTACAGTTGTAATTTACACGCTGTGAATTTAACACTTAATGCTCTCAGGCCTTAACAAGCAATCTCAGTTTTGGGGTGTACAGCCACATATTTGTCAGTTCAGTTCAGTTCTTTATTCCGTGGGACGTACATTCCATAAGCATCATAAGTACAACATTGTATTTATCAATTACATACATAGTACAATAACATGTTATAAACTTACCAACTAGTAATACATACATTTTATTATATAGCTAATTGATTTAAACATTCCATTCGTAATTCATTAGCATAATATATATATTTCCCTAACTGATTTACATCTTTGGTATTTGTACTATAGAATAATTGTATTAACTTGAAGACACTTGGTCTTCGGGAGTAGTAATGTTTGATGAACTTGTTTCTTAAATCGTGAAAAACTGGACAAATGAATAAAAAATGAAATTCGTCAGATGGGGACACTATCAACAACCCTACATTCTTTGACAACCTAAAAGAGAAAAAAGGTCATCAGACGTTTTAATGGAGGGGTACGAGCAGTAGTATACATACTATTAGAAATGTTTTTAGTATACATACCAGTAGTAATGTTTTTTATTATAAAACAGTAGAATTCAATTCAATTTAATTCGTTTATTGACCAATTAAGGACCCTCGTCGGGAAAAAAGAAAGTACATAGATAAAATGTATAAAATGGTTATGATCATATGCATGAAATACAATATACATATACATAAGAGGGAAAGGGTTTCTAGATTGATAAGAAAAATACAAGTAAGGGAATATCCAAAATATTTTATATGCACATAAGAATTGTTTTATAGGTATATATACAGTACATCATATACAGTACATCATATATATATATATATATATATATATATATATATATATATATATATATATATATATATATATATATATATATATATATATAT